AAAGCCCGCGTCTAGGCACGTATCATGTATGATGCAGACGCGTTTCATTAAACACATACTAGATTAAATAGCGCTCTTTTTGTTAAACAAAAATCTTTAAATCAGCTGTGCTTGAGTAACATTCGCTGGTTTCGTTCTATTTTAAGTATGCATGAATTAATTGTGGTGGACCTTCTTGGCCATAGATCTGGTCAAAAGACTCAAAACTATAGATGAAACAAAAAGCTCGACCGCCAACACCGGTAAACCTGCTGTGTATCTTTTTAATATCTAAAATTACCAATCCCTCAAATTCTTAGGACAATAACTATAAAGGTGTCATTTTTCCTATCAAAATTGTTAAGCAAAAACTTGAACTTCTGCAACTCTCACTCCCCTACTTGTTCAGCCAACTACTATATTCTCAATACCCACCAGCGACAATTATGAACCTCCTTCTTATTGCTGCTCAGTTTTCTATGGCTCTTGCAATTAACAAAGTTCCAATGTGGACCAGTAGCGACGAAGTACCCTTTCCAGACAAAAATATGACATGTTCGCCGGTACTTGTTCATCCCTAACAATGCCTATTAAGTACTAATTTAGCTAGATTACTGATATTTCTTATTGTGTATGTTAATCTAACAACTATAACTTTTTTTTTCTAGAGTTCTAACCCCTAGCATAGACTAGTTGGGAGAGCAGTACAACTGCTACACCTATCTGGCGAGGAAGCTGTTACAACCCTGTTGACTTAACAGAGGGGGGGCAGTTACCAAGTGATTTTTTACCTAATTGTAAAGGAGGTGTAAGTTCCTATCTGCTAAGATTAAAGAAAGTTAAAAACAGCAACTAATTATTTTTATTTAGCTTATCCGATGCGTAAGGCCCTTCCCCCGTAAACCTATTATCAATTACTTAATCTATAAATAGTGCTCGCCGTAAACTGTCTTGTAAAGGACAGGTAGTTCTTCTAGTAGGAAGAAGGTCCAACATGACTTATAGTAGAAAAAGGAGGATAAAGCAGCTAAAAGATGCTTAGATTCGTGTTTTGCTGTGGTCATAGATATCTCAGTCACGTGTGACTCTTGAATAGGCTTAGCCCCTTGGGATGCTGGTCTATAGATACGGTAGCTCCCAGGCTTCTAGACTAGGAGAATACGATCACATTACACATTACTTTTGGACCCTCTTCATCGTTAGATACTGCATGTTTTGCCATAGCATATGCCCTGAACCTACTTAATTAGACTATACTAAATGCTATCTGCGGAAGCACCCTCAGCCGTACGGTATGCGAAGCTTTTTAGGTCTGACAGGATATAATTAATAGTGGCTGCGTAACCATTCGCGGAAACATCTATGATTACAATGTTGTGGCTTCAAAGCTGACTAGTAGTAAGCTTAACTACTAAAAACATATGCACAGGATTGGACAATTGCTGGGTGGTCAAATCAGCTGAGGGTTCCAAACGAAAAGAAGCTGAGACACTTCTTCCACTCAATGTCAGCTATACGACTCTCAAGCAGGTAGAGTAAAAGAAAGACAAAACTACTATAAAGTTTCCTCCTGATCGCTTTCAAATTGTCCGCACTCACTCTGAATTTCAATCGAATTCCTTAAATCCCTTTAAACCCCAAACAAACCATGATGCTCTTCACCACCACCTTCTCCATATATTTTTTCGCCGCAATCAGCACTGCTGTACCTTCGACCTTCGACTCCCGCCAAAGCGGTGGGTCCTTCGTTTCAGTCGGCAACAAGTACTCAGGACCTGGCTGCACAGATTCGACACTCATCTTTGCGGATCCCATTTTCGGCAATGGGAATGTATGCCAAGTCCTCGATCGCTCCGGCACAAACCCTCCAATTATCAGCTACATCACTTTGAGCGCTGCTGCTGGATGCTCTGGTAGGCCAAGACTTTGGCTTTCAACTGCTTTTGAGGAGAATTGCAAACTGACACAATGACAGTGACTTTGTACACGGGGGCTGACTGCAGCGGCACGGCGTATTCCGCTCTTGTGGGTGGATGTGTCACTGGCAGTGCTCCATTTGTGAGCACCTATGTTACATGCGTGTAGACTTGGATGATTGAGGGTGACAGTTGAGTAGTGACATGTCAATTTAATCCCTTCTAGAGGGCGATTCAGAGTTACCATACACAGATTTACGAAATGACGAAACTTTTGCTTCGCCACTGATACTTTTCAATTCATATGTTAGTGAAAAATGGCGATGGGTTTCATAATGTCACATTATTGTAGGGACCAAAATTGAGTGATGATCGAAGCCCTTTGAAAACACTGTTTTTCGCTAACTTACAAGCGGCGAACTATACCAATCCAAAAGGGACAAAATTTTATTGGAGGGCTTGAGGTCACGATGGATGATGGGATTCCACCCCGCAACCATCTTTGCGCCTTTGCCAACATGCGCACGCTCACGGGTGTCCTGCTCCGAGCTTCCGGTGTGTAGATAGGCAATAGCTAGTGCAAGGCCGAAGAAGACTTTCCACATGAAGCTCTCGTCTGCGAGATGGTGGCCACGTCGCATGTACCGTAGCATCAGCGCGTCCAGACTTCCTAGCTCGCAGTGTTGCAGCCAGAGACTGCCATGCGGGATATGATAAGGAGACTGTAGCTCAAAAGTTATCAACCGGACAATATTAGGGTGTGGTTGTGCAGAGCATTGCTGCATGGCGCAGACTTCACGGCGTATATCACCTTGTGTGATAAGACGGAGTGGAATCCGCTTCTCAATGTAAACTTTGCCAGAGGAATTATGTAGGGTAATCAGTATGCCACTGTTTTGGGCCCCACCAACACCTTGAATTGCTTTTTGAATGGGGGTGAACTCGTGGCATGGGGCTATGGTTGTTCGGTTTGTTGAGACTTTCTAAGCGTTGTCCGTGCTGATGCAATAAGGGGGTGTTGAGCGTGAGTATGTCAGGAAAGATCGTTGATCAAAGTGCTTGAGGGGGGACATCTTGTTAACATGAAGTTGAGGGCGTTGCAAAATCACTGTCAGCGATTTTATGGCGCTCGCCATCGACCATTCTCATAATAGTGATGTAAAGAGACATTGATCAGCCAGATGAACCATGGGGTTCAGTGAAAGGTCTTTGCGTGGGTCATGTGCCTCAGCGAACTGATCTGGCGATATTGGCAGAAATGGTGGTGAATGTTCAGTGGGAGATGCTATGATGCCAATTAGTCGACCCACTCACTTACGACTGAAACAATGCCTGTATTGAGTGGTTGATCATATTTGATGCAACGAATTATTGAGGCTCCGAGAAGAAAACATGAGCCCTCGATGTCGCATGATCGGGAGTGAGACCCAGTGGCGAGATGTACTAGTCCAAATCATATGCTTCTGTTTCTATTGTTATTTGACAGGACTTATGCTGGCTAGCGGACGTTTGGCACGTCGAATGCCCTTCTCATATCCGGCAAATTAGTTTGCGATAGTCACGAGCACTATGCCATACTCAGACGTACTGACTGAGCCATCTGATACCCTCTCCATATCCTGTTGCACGTTAGCATTCTTCCTTTTTGAGCTAAATTCGACATTTCGCTCACCTTGCCGCATAACAACACTACACATGAACACCTCAACCGGTCTGACTCCCTCGAGCTGTACCTTGCCCTTCCCCGTAGTCTGATAAAGTCCCAGAACACTTCTCAACTGATCCTCGCTCACCGCATCCGGGTGATCAATCTTGTTTCCCAAAATGACGAACGGCGTCTTGCTTAATTCCTCCATTTGTAAAAGAGCGTCCAGCTCCGCTTTTGACTCGTGCAGCCGCTCATGGTCTTTGGCGTCGACAAGGAAGACGATGCCGGATACTTCAGGGAAGTAGTCGCGCCAGAGACGACGGGCTTGGGCGTGCCCGCCGAGATCGAAGGTTGTGAATTTTACGTTGCCAATTGACAGCTCTTCGGAGGCTGGGAGAGAGTTAGGGAGAGGGGAAGAGGAGGGGGGCAAGGAGGCATACTTGGGTGGAGAGCTGCCTGGGTGTTAGTCATTGAGTATATAGTAACGTATTTGGGATAATGGACATACTGGGTTGCAGAACGGCTACCCGATCGCTTCACATGGAGTGCATTGTTAGCCATCAGCGCATTTGTAAAGTGGAGGAGTTGATGTACTTCTTCAACATGTGAAGTAGAGTTGTCTTGCCGGCATTATCAAGGCCCAGGAACTGTTCAAGGTTAGCTAGTGCTCTGGTACACCGTCACAGTTGACTGTATAGGTACGTACAAGCAGCTTTGCATGCTTATTTGCGAGACCTAGGCTGGCCAACACCTCGTAGACTACGTGTTGATATCAGCAACTCGCATATACATTGCGGATAGCGGATGTTGCGCGCGTGCGATGCGACGTGTGACATACACCTAGAAGCACAGTCAGCGGCAGCTCGCCTGGCATATCGGACCAACCCTACCAGTTAATGATCCACATGTCGCAAAGTCGGATTTCGTCGGCTGTGTACTTACTACTATGACGGAGAATGATGGGGAACAGGACACAATGATGCGCCAGTAGCGCACTTGGCACACGAGCTGACACGACACGACGTCACATGCAAGCGCGAGGCAACTGGGCTGTACATTGAGCAAAAGAAAAAATACAGTAACAGTCTTGCACTTCAATAGACATACGCTCGACTACAGAAATGGTATCTTCCAGTTAAACACCTCATGAACGCCCCATGCTGTGTGTGCAACATGCTTCGCAGCCTAACTACTCATGTCTTTTTCCAGGATTGCTTGCGCCTCGACAACTTTGTTGCGTGACACGATTTGCTCGGTCAAAATATCGCCAATTCTCTCATTTAACCGTTCCCTCAGGCTCTTCAGGTCCACAGTCTCATTCGATGCGAGACGCCGCCTACTAGCAGCGAAAGCCTCGAACGTGTTCATGAATAGACCAACCATTCTTTCGGCTTCGCTCCGCCTGCCATCGTCCTCCAGCCCCGCCTTGAGTAAGTCGTTGTAGATCTGGACATTTGGCAATATGAGCATCTTCATAGCCTCGTCAATGCCCAAGATGAGAACCAAGGCGTGCAAGGCACCGTAATGCGCACCAAAAGATTTCTTGGGATCCATGAACTGTTTGAGACACGTCCGCGCGATTCGTGCCTTGAGACCTTGGTTTGACGAGGAATACTTTCTACAGATGTGCTTCAGTATTGAAGCTGCCTTATCCCGGAGTTCGTGGTGATCTTTGAGGCCAGTCACATGACCATTGGCTGCAGCCCCGTTCACGTTTTCAGTGAAGGCACTCGTTGGTTGCTGCCGTGGTCGGGGCCCTAGGTTGTTGCCAGTACAACAGGTAAGAACTGGAGGTACCATGTAAGCCACGTATGGATCGAGATAGATGGCCTGATTGTTGAGAAGGGCTTCCGTGGCTCTCATCATTTGATGTAGTACGAAGAGATCCTTCAGATTATGTGTCACCTTCTCGGCTATGAAGCTCAGGAGATAGGTGGTGAGCTGGTGAATGCCCGGCTCCGTAGATATGGCCGCAAGCGCAGCATTCTGCCACTCGATGTTGGTCTCATCGGTAAGGGCGCCAGATAGCTTGTTGAACAGCTCTTGCGATTCCTTGGATAGTACATGTTTGACCAGCGGCTTTACATTCACATTGTCCAGTCCGTTGGCAGCTGCGAGATGTGGGTTGGCATTCGGGCCCTTGGGCAGCAGGTCCGCGGAGTTCGTTGTGGGGTTCTGTGGTATGGATGGCTGGACGCCCTCGACGGCAAGCCAGTGTGCTGTGTCACGTTAGAGCGTGCCCATCTTGAAATCAGCAGTGATGGAAAATTACCTGTGAAAGTAATTTCTCGTGGGACCTTTGGCAGCGGGGCGTTGATAAGCTTCTCAAAATCCACCTCTTCATCCTCTACATAGTACAACGGCTGGCCGGGTCCCAGTGAAGCCTCGCCGAAGCGCAACGGCCGGGTAGATTCATAGCCGTAGAGAGGCTCCACATTCAATACTTTCAACGCATTGGATATGTCCAGGGTGTTCAGCGTAGTTCGCTTTCCGTGCCGCATGAATTTGAGCGCCTCCTCCAAGACTTGGGCCAATCTGAAGTCGACATCACGCGCCAATTCCTCCACGACGTTTTCGGCGAGTGAGGCAATGCCCACTGATTCAGCGACATCTCGCACGTTGTCGGGGTTCCAGACGGACGACATACTGCTGGAGAGCGCAGTCGACGGGACACGGGGTAGGGGCTGCCGTGGCGGAGAGGACGCTCAGAGGACGAGCGCACAGTGAGGCGGATATGCGAGAGATCCGATGGGCGGACCGAGAGGGTATCACCAGGCGGGTGACGCAGAGTTTTGGGAATGGAGGGGTGTGATTGCCAGCCCTACGAGCAGAAGGTCAAGCACATTGCGGACGGGCGCATGCAATCTCACTCAGGTCCAGCGATGGAGCAAGGCAGAGGAATATTGTGTTATATAGGGGCTTGCGATGCGTTGAATTGGGGCTGTGTATGTGTCGATGGGCGGCCACTCTGGATGAGCTCTGTGTATGTATGCGCAAGCTTGGAGTACGGAATGGTGCCTGGATAGCAGAGGTTCACTGGAGGGAATGGAACCTTGTGAGTCGTCGTGATGGGCGTCGGGTCCACTTGGCCCGCGTCAAGTCTTGGCGCGCTGCTTCTGAACTTGCCTACCCTAACTAGATTCCATTACCAGCCAACCACCTAGCCTATCGACATGGCACACCGATCCGCTTGCTGTGCCCACCGGATACTCCCTTTCAAATAGGCCACTTCAATGCCTTGATACACACAAATGAGAGGCTGTGGAAGCTGCCCAGTCAGTGGTTTGCTCCCCCCGGGGCCCTGGCGGCAAACATGGCGCCCTCAGGCCTTCATTTCTCTGGGCGGCATTGTTTTCACAAGTTTCCAGATGTCATTTCCCTTTCTCCCTGAAAGAACCGCATGGCTGCAGGCCAGATCTTGCGTGGGGACCATCATGGAACGCTGACAAGGTAGACCGCCTTTTGCAAACCGTATCATACACGCTCTAACGCGATCACTTAGTGGCTAGTGCAACGAGTCTCCCCATAACTGGGTAGATTCAGAGATACTATCTTGTCCAAATGTCGATGGTACTGCCCATTGCCACGTTTTCCTTACCCGCTTTGACCGCTTGAGATGTCCTATGGAATATCTTCTGGGGTCGGGGATGGGTATCGTATGCCGCGCGTACGACCATGATTATAATCGGCATGCCATTCCAGGTAGGCTCCCTGTTCCATCCTCAGAGCCCGCCCGTCCCGGCGGCCCGTTGTCATTGATTGTCTGGTTTGCCAGCAGGACATCCATTTCTCGCCCCTCTATCTTCAACTGGCCTTATTTAAACTATGTAAAACTACATCAACCTCGTCTCAGAGCATCCTGCCATCTTCCTTGCAGAAGTTTCACTTTTCACTGTGCTCAATCTACATACCTTGACATCTCTTGAACTCATATCTCCTCACCTGATTCTTGCTTCCCCGAATCAAGTATAGTCGACATGGCTGTCATGGAGGCCACCTCAATATCTAAAGTCGTATTCATCACGCAGCAGTCCTGTCCGAGTATCACGACCCGCTTCTTGTCGTTGGTTCCGTCGCAGGATCGCTCAAGGGATGACCCACCATCGCCTCCTCCTCAACCTCCCCCAAGTCCATCTGGCTGGAGCCGGCTTGTCTCCATGGACCCCCTTGCGCCAGTTGAAATCTGAATCTGGGGTAAGCACGACGCGATCTACTAAATTGGCACCACTAAGAAGTGACATCCCAGGCCAATTATTGCCACTCTTGAGCACGAACGCGCAGAATTTGCGCGACTAGCCGTCTGGTACAGTATTCCCCAAAGGGTTCAAAGGTGCTTGAGGATGGTTGTGTAAAAGAAGGGCATTCTACCATGAAGACAAGACCAGGTTGTCCCATTGCTAGGAACGAGGTTGCAGTATAGATGAGCTGTCAATGAGATTCGGCTGTCAAAGTCTTTATAGGAAGAATCCAGCATCTGGCCAAATATGGCATTCGACTACATTGTACTTCTCCTTTGTTCCCTACATCCCGCTCGGCACGATCCTCTGTGCTATACTTCCTCTCTATTACATTGCACAACTCTCTATCAACTGATGACCTAACACTATTTTTGCAACTCGCTGTTATAGTCAAATTGAGAAATTTGTGGGATACTCTGTGTGACATGCCGCAACTGCGCCCATGACGTCATTATTGAAGTTGATGCGTTCTGGATATATTGGTCAATAAGTTCAAATGCCAGTGAAATAAGGATCCATTGCTATTGCTGATTGCTGTAAAACTGAGAGCGATCCTTATAGTAGTCATAGTAGCAGCAGTATTCGCGTTTTGCTTCGATTTCCAACGTTATAGTCTACTCTTCGATATCACATTCTCGGACTGGCATCGAAATAGCGATGCGTCCTAGGTAGAGTAGCAGCAACATAACCATGCCAAATAGGAGCCAGTCAGTGCACGCTGTGCATAGTGTGAATGATCCCCTACGACCCATTGCAACTTTCCCAAAATATCCCCAGACTTTATAAGCGTCGGGTGTATGTTGCTCCTCCCAGCTGCCCCTCCATTGATGAATGTTCGCTTACTGTACTAGCGCGCACTGGTCGCGTCACCTCCAGCTTGTTCGAATGTCCCAGGCCCAACAAAAGACCCACACTCCGCCTCACCATCTCTCTCGACAATCCATCCAACCTCATGTGCATCCGCACTTGACAACTGATCTACTTCTCAACCCAGTTCAAACTCAGCTCCGCAGGCGGCCTGAATCCAAAGTCACACAATAGCTCGTTTTAAAAGAGTCCTCACCGGACTCACCCCCACCAGAGCAGAGAGGATTGTTTCTTGTGCGCTTGCACAGGCTAGGATACAAACATTCCGCCACCAGCGGCTATCTAATGCAGCTTGATAGCGCCTAGGGCTACTACTAGACTTGAAAAAGAGGCGAAGTAAACCTCTGTTCACCTGAACGCGCACTTTGATCGCTCAGCACTGAGCCAACTGTCAATACCCCAATTTCTGTATTGCGAAAACTCCAGTCGACAACAGAACAATGAGTACGGCAGAGCAGATTTTTGAATGGTACGCCAAGCTCTACAGCCGTCGTGTGGACCTGGTGGGCGACTTTGCTGGAAGTGAGCGATTCCTCGTCCACGGCGAGTCCCTTCTTCTCCATTGCTTTAGCGACAAACACATCGACTTCGACCCTGGTTACCAGTTACTCCATGCCTCATACACAGTCGAGAGATTCCTGCAGGGTCTTGTATCACGCTGTTGCAACTTCCACATTGCCTTCTTTGATGAGCACCAAGACATATGTGTCCCCCAAGATGCATCGCGAGAAATTAGCGAGAAGTACCTGCTTGCACGAGCAGCCATCATACGCCATCTCAAAGTCAACCTTCCCGAAGTCATTCCAGAGATTGAGATCAATCACTTCGCCTCAACATCTTCTGACTCGTTTGCGGAATATCTCAGGGCAACTGACATTTACTTCGTCCTTTGTCACGATGGTGCCTCTTTCAAAGATAGTCAAAAACGAATCATTCTTCAGAACGATCTGAAAGCTCTTCAAGAAGAGGACCATAGTATAGAGAAACGTCGTGAAGAGTACAAGGCTACTTTTCGTACCTTCATATACAGCCTGATGCAACAAGGTTACAGCACGGCGCTTGTCAACGGCCTAGAATGGCAAGACACCAAGATCATCACGACTGTGTTGGAGCATTCCCGTTCCATGACTCTGGACGTTCATTCAACAGTAAGCAGATTCTGGCTATGTTGGGATTTGGCCCTGCCCATGTTATATGTGTTGACCATGAACCCCACAGGAAGCCCATTTGAACAAACGGCTTACCGACATTGTTGATCTGGCGCACATGCGTGGCTATCTACAAACCATCCGCGAGTCCTGCGATCGGTTGCTGACCGAGCGCGAATATCTCACTGTTCTAGTCGCCTCGCAACTTGCGTCCTCAAGCAGTAACAATCTTACTCCCGCCTTGTTGCAGCACACAGCATTGCTTTCGGAGCTTCCTTTATCGGACCGAGCCATCGCAACTCAAGAAATGCCCGAAGAGATTAGCGCTTTCATTCTTGAATTCTGTCACGAAGCCCGGAAGTTTATTGGCAGCCCTGCTTGGTCAGATGCCTTCTCAGGTCATCCTGAATGCGACCTGGCGGATCTGATTGATGGACGGCTTTTGGCGCTCTGCGCTCAGGATCCATCAGTAGAGTCAAGCGAGCTTCTAGACACCTTGAAGAAGGCAACGGCTGCTCTTTACGGTCAAGAATTGTCGAACGGACCCGCAGTTGGGTTGCATCTGAATCCAGCGTCAAATGACCAATCGCACGATGAGGACTCCACATATGCTGTGCTTCCATTCACAAACAGTGTATTTGATGAGCATTTACGACCTATCAAACTGGAAGTGTCTCGATCAGGAGGGAAAACAGATACAACAACTGCACAAGTCTTCCGCGAGGTAACTCATTGGCACAATCAGCGATCTTTGAGTCAAAAACAAAGGGTCATACAAGAGAAGGATCCCAAAATGGCGAAGAAGGCCCTCCGTCGAAACCAATTCTTCATGGCAGAAATGACGTCGTACGCTGCTAGTCTGACAAATGCCGTTGGTAAAGTGCTTGACCCGGAAACTATAACACTTGGCGACAAGGCAAAGCCTACAGCCCCAGGACAGAGCATTGAGAACAAAAAGCCTAAGCAACAGCAGAAGCAGAGTGTCAAGAACATTAATGCTAACAAGCAAGCCATGCTGGCTGACATTGCGGCAAGTTCGAAGCGGAAAGACGAAGAGAGTGCAAAGCAGCTATATCAAGCATGGAGCGTATTTTGCGATGGCCTCGAGAAGCAGGTTGACTTACCATCAAGATATAACAAGGCGAGGCAGTATCTTGCAAATCTGAATAGTGCGGCTAAACGTCAGACTCTCGGACCAGAAGTGCGCATGTACATGCTCAACGTCTTGTTGGAGATGTGGATTCGATTTTGTCGCGACGGAAACAAAGAGAAAGGCGTGTACGTTGCGGCCCTGCTCTTCGATACGGCCCGCACTCTTTGCAGCTTCCCTAGTGTCAGTGGGACGATCGCTAGATGTCTCAAAGCTACCGTAGAACGCCTTCATTTACCTACCCTGGATATACCACCGGAGCAAGGCGATCGCAAGCTCCCTTTCAAGTTTGTTCTGGATGAGACAATGGCCTCAGATCTTACATTGACTCTTTCGCCAGAGGAGTTCCAACTTCTCCACTGCGGACCGTATTTTGACCGGACGATCGATTCAGCTCCGGATCCTCGCGTGGCTTTTGAGCCCGACGCGTGGCAGCGGCGTGTTCTTGATGAAATTGATGCTCGTCGCAGCCTCCTTGTTATTGCACCGACCTCGGCGGGTAAGACATTCATCTCGTTTTACGCAATGAAGCAGGTCCTGGAGGCAAACAATGACGATGTATTGGTGTACGTTGCGCCCACCAAGGCGCTGGTAAACCAGATCGCCGCTGAAATCCAAGCTCGATTCTCCAAGAATTACAAGTATAGTCAATCCGTTTGGGGCATCCATACCCGCGACTACCGCATCAACAACCCCACTGGTTGTCAGATCTTGGTGACGGTTCCTCACATACTACAGATCATGCTGCTCGCCCCTAGCAACGCTAAAAACTGGTCAGAGAGAGTCAAGTGGATCATCTTTGATGAAGTACATTGTATCGGACAGGCTGAAGATGGTCTTATTTGGGAGCAGCTATTGCTCATGGCACCGTGCCCAATTATTGCACTTTCTGCTACAGTTGGAAACGCAGAAGCTTTCAATGATTGGCTATCAGCCTCGCAGAAAGCTGCTGGGAATGAGCTGGTCATGGTTCAACACCCCCACAGATACTCGGACCTACGGAAGTTTGTCTATTCCCCACCAACTAAGCGCGATCCAGCTTCATATCTACCACTCCCCACACAACGATCTTTTGCTCAACTCGGTCTGGACGAGCATACAGACTTTGCATTCTTGCACCCGGTCGCTAGCTTGCTTAACCGAACCCGTGGCCTGCCTAGCGACTTGACCCTTGAGGCTAGGGACTGTCTCACTCTTTGGCAGAGTATGACAAAGCACCAGACCGCGGAGTACCCAGTTGACAAATCCCTCAATCCATCTGCAATTCTTCCTGTCATCATCAAGAAGGCCGATATCATCAAGTGGCAAGCCGCGCTCAAGGAACTCCTCACCAAATGGATGGCCGACGACAAGTCTCCATTTGAAGCGGTCCGCCAGGATCTCAGCAAGCCTCTTGAGAAATTTACAGCCCATACTATCATGGGAACTGAAGAAGAGTCTGATGAGAGTGGTGAAGTCGATGAATTGGGCATGGAGATCAGCCACGACATCTCAAGCATATTGCCATTGTTGGCTGACCTGCAGCAGCAGGATGCACTTCCTGGTATCGTCTTCAACTATGATCGTTCGATTTGCGAGAAGATGCTACAGACTTTGCTCAAGCAGTTAACAAATGCGGAGACTACCTGGAAGGAGTCTAGTCCTAAATGGAAGGAGAAGCTGGCACAGTGGGAGGAATGGAAGAAAGAGGTGGCCAGACGAGAGAAGCAAGGGCTCCGTGGAGAAGCTTCCAAGGGTATGACGAAGCAAGACCAGATGAGAGAAGCTGCCAATGTCGAGGTCAGTGCCTTTGCCTCGTTCGACCCCAACAAGCCTCTAGAAGGGTTCCACTTTGCGGATCATAAGAAGCTATCACAGGAGGAATTCGCGGTTCATGCGAAGGAGCTACGTTACCGTGGATGTGAGGAGTGGCTGATTGAGGGTCTAATGCGCGGTATTGGTGTCCATCACGCTGGTCTGAACCGGAAATACCGATACTGCGTTGAAATGCTCTTCCGCAAGGGTTACCTGCGAGTTGTGATTGCGACCGGTACGCTTGCACTGGGTATCAACATGCCTTGCAAGACCGTCGTATTCTCCGGTGATTCCGTATTCTTGACTGCACTCAACTTCCGACAAGCTGCTGGTCGTGCTGGTCGACGAGGTTTTGACATGCTCGGAAATGTCGTCTTTCATGGCGTATCACTGAGCAAGGTACATAAGCTTATTAGCTCAAGGCTTCCTGATCTCAACGGCCATTTTCCCATCACAACAACGCTGGTCCTGCGCCTCTTCACACTGTTACACTCATCAGGGAACTCAAAGTTTGCTGTACGTTGCATCAATGCGCTCCTTTCGCAGCCACGACTGTATTTGGGTGGGAATGATGCAAAGATGACCGTACTACACCACCTACGATTCTCCATCGAATATCTTCGACGTCAACATCTCCTGGACGAGCAGGGTGTACCCCTTAACTTTGCTGGTTGCGTAAGCCACCTCTACTTCACGGAGAACTCGTCATTTGCTTTCCATGCGCTGCTCAAGGATGGATACCTCCATGACCTGTGCGCCAAAATCGACACCAACAAAGTCCAAGTACTGCGCGAACTTATGTTGATCATGGCTCATTTGTTTGGAAGACGTCACTGCCGACAGGCGGATGAGGAGTATGTACAGGAAGTGGTGAAGAAGAGTCCCTCGATTGTCTTCTTACCCGCTATGTCCGACTCTGCTGCAAACGTCCTGCGTCGTCACAATAAGACGACACTTGACATCTTCACAGCTTATGTCCGTACTTTCGTGGATCAGCAGACCACGGAGCCTGATAACGAGCTTCCGCTGACTGAGGTCACGATTGGTGGCGAATCTTCTCCCACAAAGATTGCACTGGGCCAGCGTCGCAAGGTAAAGGCTCGCTCTGCGTTTGTCGCTCTCTCGGGCTATGATGACAGGTTTGAGTCTATTCACGATCTTTGCACAACGGCTCGTTCCGGTGTCTTCCTTGAGGAGGCTGTCGTACCCCACATTGGCCTCTACCCTGAAGACTCTGGACTGCCACTCAATGCATACTTGTATGATTTCTTCATGCATGGTGACGTTAATGCCTTGATTACAGCAAACAAGATTCGTCGTGGAGACGTCTGGTTTGTGTTAAATGATTTCAGTATGACGTTAGCAACGATAACGACCAGTCTTTCGAATTTCCTTGGATTGGGCTCAGAGTCTGATCTGGACTTCATTGAAGTTCGGGGTGGTGGTGACGACGAGGAAGAGAATAGGGAAGACAAATTGCTGCCAACAGATTCAACGACAGAGACGGCTGCAGCGAATAATTCTGCAACCAACAAGGGCCCTACCCGGCAGGAGCTTAGCATCCAACCGAAGAAGAAGGCCAAGAAAGTGGTTGCTGAGTCGTGGGATGACGAAGATGAGGACTCTGAGCAGAGCGAATCCGAAGTCGAAGATGAGTGGGACGCTGCAGATGGTCAAGATCCGCCTGCCTGGGAAGAGGGCGAGGGCTTGCTGAATGTTCTTAAGGCTTTCAAGGCCCTGAAGGAGGAATTTGACACAAAATTCAAGGCCATGTGGGCTTGATCTGAGCAAAGGAAAGCGAACGTTAGGGGCTAGGTAAACCATCGTTGGCGTCATATATGTGATTAGGTGTGATTAGGTGTATGTACAGCATGATCGGGTTGATCGGACTATGTTGCACGTAATTCTAAATGACTTCGGCAGGGTAGAAATCAGTCTCAATCACAAGGCCCACTTTTCAAAGCATGCTCTGATCACTATTTTGAATGTTTAGGCTTGGATGTTAGTCTGTTCAAGTCTATCCAAAGTATGTCCAATTCATGCACTTTACTCTCCACTCCGCGTATCGCATCTTAGTTAGGAGGAGGGAAACGACCGAATTACGCAAATACGCTCTACGGCATCTCGTGTGGTCGTTTACCGCGTGTAGGGCGTTTAGAGTCGGAGATAAGACCTAGCCCATGCCTATCTACTTCTACGTCAGTCCAGAGTAACCTCCACCACTTTTGTTCTACCAGGGAAGAGCCTCCCCTCCTCCCCTTCTCTTCCTTCGCCTCAATGATTCTGCTATAATTATACCTCTGCCAACTTCGGATTTGCTGGATAACGGCCAAGGCATACCGAGTAACGAGTAACGAACCACGAATGCGACTGCGACTGTCATGATGCTCCGAAGAGGATCGTCGTCTGCTCTGCGCAGCTTTGCGCCTACCATCTCCCCACCCCTCTACACCGTGATACGACCATTTTCGTGTACACGTCCAGCGTGTGCAGATATTGACATGGCAGCTTTCGGCGAGCAGCACATTGCAAAAGGCATTGGTCGGCTCACGAAGCATGTCTTCGAGGAAGCAAAGGGCACATATATCACCACCGACAAAGGCGTCAAGCTGCTGGATCTCACCGCCGGCATTGGCGTCCTAAACCTGGGCCACTGCCATCCAAAGGTCAGCGCTGCAGCCGCCGCACAATGCAGCAAGATTACGCATGCCCAAGTCAACATTGGCTTCAGCTCCGCGCAAATCGCCCTTCTCCAAGAGCTTCTGCCCATCCTGCCCCACCCCTCGCTCGACACGGTCTTCTTCTGGAACTCGGGCGCCGAAGCCGTGGAAGCGGGCGTGAAGCTTGCACGCGCCGCGACCAAGAAACCTAACATCATTGTCATGCAGGGCTCGTACCACGGCCGCACAAACGCCACAGCCTCGATGACGCGGTCCAAGACGATATACGGCGAGGGTCATGGTCCCTTGATGGGTGGAGTCTTCGCCAGCGCATTCCCATATTACAGCCAATTCCCTGGCGCAACCGTCGACACACCCACAAAAGATTTGGTCAATTACGCCCTCTTACAGATGCAGCTCACGCTCCAGCAACAAACCTCACCTGCTGACACCGCCGCCATCATCCTCGAGCCAGTACTAGGCGAAGGCGGTTATGTCCCCGCACCCCCCGCCTTCCTCCACGGCCTCCGCAAGATCTGCGACGAACATGGTATCCTGCTCATTGCGGATGAAGTACAATCTGGGATGGGGCGTACAGGACACATGTGGTTTGTCGAGGAGTCTGGTGTCCGGCCTGACATCCTAATCTTCGCCAAGGGCATCGCGAATGGATTTCCGCTCTCCGGCATCGCGAGTAATAAAAAGCTCATGGATCTTCAAAAGCCTGGATCAATGGGTGGAACCTATGCCGGCAACCCTGTGGCGTGCGCTGCCGCAACTGCAACCATACAGGCTTTCCGCGACGAGAAGATTTTGGACAATGTTGCTGCGCGCTCAAAGCAAATTTTTGACTTTCTGCACGAACTCAAGAGTTCAAAAACCAAGGCCGGCAACTTGATCGAAGACATCCGGGGTAGTGGGCTGATGGTTGGTCTGCAGTTCAAGAATGCGCGACTGCAATCTCAAAGTGATAACGTTGCAGCAGCGACGGATGCGAAGCAGACAGCACAACCGCAGATTGCACCGCAGGTTGTGCAGCAGTGTGTAAAGAGGAATATGTTATTGCTTAGTACATCGGTCTTTGACGTTGTCCGATTCATTCCACCGCTCACAATCACGGAAGAGGAATTGAGCAAGGGGTGTGAGATTTTCAAGGCGGCTTTGGAGAGTGTCGCGAGTGAAATATGAATTATGATATTGTTGTTTGATGAGGTGGTTATATTTTATTTCGTCTCGGGCTGGAGAAGTTGGGTTGCTTATGCGTTTTAGTTATGGCATGACAGGGCAATGTAGACCAGTGGCTAGCTAGCTCCCTTTTGAGAGGATGGGCACTGTTGCGGGTCCTGCAACTGCTCGTGGTTGAGTCATTTGAGTGAGTGACAGCCAGCTAGAGCATGAATTCGAGTTTCCCTCTAAGAAACATGAGGAGCACTGAAGCTCGTTTTGACAGACAAGTCTTCGAAACTAATCAGGATGGGTATTGAAAACAGATGCTATGAGATGATACTCAGTTACAACTGCCCTGCATGCTTTCCAGACAGAAAAATAGGTATCCCTCTACTCGGTCGTCTTCTATGCGTTTTGCGCATCATGAAGATGTTGCCAGTCAGGTAAGATCACGTGGACCAGCAGCGCTGCACAAGCTCAGCATTGCATTTTGTATCTACGTGCGGACAGGCTAGGCTGACACAGCTCTGAAAGGCAGCTCCGACTCTAGAAATTGGGCGGCCGGACACTCCGTCAACACTGCTTTCTCGCCATCCGCGAGGCTTGGTCGATGAGGGTCTCGCAGTCTGAGATTGGCGTTGAAGATGAGCGGCTCCCACGATCGGGCGGCTGTGGCTTACCGTACGGTACGGTAGTGCTTCCGCTCTTAGGCTCTGCCATCCCAGAAGCCTGGTACGTCATGCAAAGTATAATTTGACCGCTAGTCCCCTTAGATGCGATGAGGCTGCGACGACGGCTGCTTCCTTCAGATCCATCCTGATCCTTCAAGTTCCAACCGATCTGATTTCGCAAGCTGGATGCGGATCATAGGTAGCGTACTTGCACCTCTTGGCTGGCTGGAACTCCTATCTTTGGATCATGGAGACCGTCAATAACTACCGGTAGTGAGCATCAGTATAGAGGTAGTGTGAGGTGCAAGACCATCCCCATCGCAGGATAAATCCATCATTCCTTGGCGCACCTTGTTCTACCTATCGATGCTGTGTAGGTACACACAAATGTCAGTAAACAACAACTGCTCAACAACTGCTCAACAACAACAGCATTTTACATGGAGAATTGACCAGCAGGCTAGGCTCAATGACATTGACAACGGTGGATGGATGTACTACAGCTAGCCACTCTGTAGCTGCAAGACTACGCGCAGACCATTGTTGCGCCTGTTGTACGTCACCCTGCATGCCATAGAAAGCTAGAAGCGCGCCGACAGAGTGTATTAGTAGTTGATAGGCAATTGCGTAAGTATGTCCTGGGTTTTGCTGACAAGTTGTGCAGTGACAGTGGGCTGATTCTATGACTGTATGGGAGCGATAAAATTACAGGGAGACATCATTACTCATAGGGACCTGCTGCCTTCGTCGATCCAAGTCTTTTGTGGTATTCTGAGCGCCCGATCGATGTCCATCAAGATTCAATTCTCCTGTAAGCGGGCCGCCCGGAATCCTGCATCATGTTTCTCGCTACCGGGGCAGTCCGTGCGAAGCTTTGCGCTACTTCTCACGTTGATTCACCTAGGCGGGAGCTTAGCAGCAGTTCCCAGTATGGACAGGAGATCTACGTAATTCGACGCGGCTAGAAGGTGTTGGCTGTCCGCCAAAAGCAAAGGTTCCTTGTGCGCGTCTCAGTAGCAATATGGTCCAAGCCCTGATGCAACCTCTGCCAACTGCTGTGTACAGGGACCCGAACCCTAAAGTTTGCAGGAACTGGTTTGTGGTGGAAACATGGTGTAGGTAAGGTCTCGGAGCGAACTTTGTAGTTGCAGCACATGACTTATCCGCCCAATGTGCATGCAGCCACAGCTAGTCCATTCGCTGGTGTCGACAAACGGAGAAGCGGGTTGCAATGCCTGAGCTTCTGCCCGAACCTTGCACGGTGGCCCTGCGAGGAAGTAGGTATGTTTGAAATATAGGCTTAACAGTAGGATTATATATCTGGTACAAGTTCCCACCCAGCACAGTTCATTCATACTCAACGGTTCATTCACTTTATTCACATTCAACGTTTCGATCACTTCACACTCGACGGCTCATTCACTTCAATCAATCATTGCATCAAACACCTCATTCACCTAGGTGCCTTCGCAATGGAGGATCTGGCTTGGAAGGAAACTCGGCCCGGTCGCTGGGAGCGTCCTCAGAGCTACCTAGAGAAGATGAACATCCTCACTCGCAACGTCCCGAAAGCTGCGGGCCGCGACAACTGGGCTAAGAATGCCGTCGCGAGGCTCGGATTTCATCCATCGGTGGAAGACCCTGCTGCCTATCTCCGAACTGCATGGAAACAAGTTCGATACAATCATCCTGAGATTGCGGCTTTTCCATACAACGGCAACTATGTATATCGCGTTGGAGACGCGACATCGATCGCGCTTTGGGTGTCAGCCACCTTTTCAGTTGTCGAAGACAAATCAGTAGACGAACTGTTGGGTCGCATCCCAAGAAATGAGCAGATGCAGTGTTACTTCCTCCCCGAGAATGGCGATGTTTTGATTTGGTCTCCTCACTATCGCGTCGACGCTCGAGGTGCCATCTTCTGCCTGAACCATCTGATAGAATCGCTAGTCAACATGGACCCCAACCTTGTCTTTGGTGGATGTGCAAAGAACTTGACCCCAAGTATGGAAGCCACTCTAGGCATCAACAACAAATCTACCCCGGAAGCCGAAGCTGCGGTGAAGAAACGTTTAGACGCCTTGAAACCCCACAGACCAGTCCTGGACATGGCCCCAAAGATCTCGTCTACGAAACCCGGATACACAAAACGACACGTCATTAAATTCTCCAGAAGCGATACTAACTTGGTCGTCTCTAGCTGCGCCGTCGCATCGCTCGCCATGGTCGTGGTGTTGCACTCTGCTCTCATCAATTCAGTCGCCAAACTTGTGCCCACTACTGAATCCCGAAGTTTCATGGCCTCCTTCCACTCCAATCTGCGCGTTCTCATCCCCGAAGGCACGGCGCCAAAACACTCACCAACAAGTTACACTAGCATCATTACCACTGAGCTCAAGGTCTCACCAAAGACCAATTTCGGATCTTACTACACTGAACTTGCTCCTGTCTATGCCAAAGGCTACGCACCGTTCCTGCAGTCATCAAGGCTTTTCCACGAACGCCTTGGTGAGACATTGTATGGGCAGGACCCACCCAAGGGAGAGACGGACAACCAGCTTCAGCCGCGTTTCGCATACTTGGGCGTTGTCAACGAACAAGTCACAAAGCACGTTGGAGAAGGGCTCGTAGAAGTCAAGGACTTTTGGCTCGGTGCTGAGACCTTGTCCATGCAGATGATGGTTCACACTTGGATCTGGGACGGCGAACTTAATCTAAGTGTCACTTTCAATGAGAGCTATTGGGACAAGGCTACGGCAGTGGCGCTGCTGCAAGGAATGCAAGATACTTTGATGGAATTGGCGCGTGGTCCGAAGCAAATGGTACCGAGCGCACGCAAATTTCCTTCTCTTACGAAGATGATGAGTGCAGTAGCGTTATAATTTTGCATTTTTTTGATTTCTGTACACATGGCCCACTTATCGGGATGGCATATACCCTTACCTGCCACTAGATCGTAGGATTGGTGTTTGTATACCACATCCTCTAGGGCAGAACATTATGGCTGTTGACTGCAAGGATGCCAGGATAGCAATAGTACTAATTAATGATAATGAAATCCAAACAATCTAGATATTGATGTCTTTCATTATTCTCATCATCACTTCTGCTTTTTTTTATGCTGACTGGCAGCAAAGTGTTCAGACGCGTGCTTATATCTAGAACGGTCTCATAGCACCAAGTGTGTCTCTCTTCATGGCTGAATCGACTCCATCTGTGGCATTGCCATGCACTGTCCCGTTGACATTCGCCTGATCAAGCCAAGCTGCCTTCAGGGTCCACACCCCCACGCTTGCGGTAGCAGTCGAGTTGATACCTGCTACCCTCAGGATCATCGTATCTAGTGCTTGTGTGGGGAAGAAGACACTAGTCGCACTGATCTCGCCTCCGTTGAGGTATAGTTCGATAATGCTGCGGTCAATAATACCGGATAATCTCCATGCTCCATCAGCCTCATTGTAAAGTCCCGTGGCAGAGAATTTCTCATTAAAGTAGGGACTCTGAAAGCCATTGGTACGACCCCTGTCGAGCCAAACATCCCCTGAGGATAGGAAAGTTCCTCCAGAGACGGCTTCTCCGGATCCAGCTGACGAGAATGTGAAGTTGAGAGAACCGTCGAGGGAATCGCTGGTGGTAAGCCCGGTAATGTTCGCTTCAAAGTACAGTGCGCCTGATTCCACGGTTGAGTAATCGATGAGAACTGTCCCGTTTCCCAGGGAGCTATTGAATGCTAGCTCAGACTCCATAATTGACATGATGTTATAAGGATACGATATAAGGCTGGGTCCGAATCTCGTAAGGTTCTTGATGTAGTGGCCGCGTGGCACAGTCATAACACTGCGGAAACCATCGCCTACTTCTCGTCCTGCTGTGGGGACTACGTTTGTATACTGCCAATTACTCGCCCAATTCATAGTGATCTGGTCATTGGAGGATGGAGTGCCGTAGAAGAATTGACCTGCGTAATTGTCTTTTGCAAAGTCTGTGAGGCGCACGCTCGAATCGCTAGCCTCAAAGTGGGTACCGTTGAAGCTGCCAAGGAAGTATTCTGTGATTGAACCCCCAAGCGGAGCACCAGGGTTAATGGAAATTAACATGACCCACATGGACTCCGGCGCTCCCTCTGGGGGATCCTCGACCCGTACCTCGACCATGTTGGGGCATCTAGCATGACCTGTTAGTGTCGAACTACTTCTTCATCTGTCGGTGAAGTCCTCCTACTCATATTGCAGCCCAGTGAGGCCATAGAGAGTGAAATTACTCTCAGCTTTCCACGATTGGAGATCTGGAGATGAGAAAATGCCAATTTCGAAGTCAACAGGATACGCAATCACCATGATCCAGCTTTGAGTAGGCTCATACCACTTTCATGTTCATATCAGCAAGAACCAAGGCCTGCAGTCCGTTCTAATTGGTCGTAGTTCACTCACAATTACTTTGGGATCCCGAAATTGAGTAGGGTTGGTCCCACCAGGACGAATCACAGGATTACCCTCGTACTTGATGAAAGATATTCCATTGTCATATGAGTACGCAATGTGTTGGGTCTGGTTCTCAGGGACATTGATGGTGTACATGGCAACTACACCATTGGTCTGGTTGGGGAAGAAGCCAGAGGTGTTGTTCACATCGACAACTGCTGATCCAGAAAATACACCCTCGGTCGGCCCGCCTGGGAAGATAGCAATAGGCTGATTTGTCCAGGTATAAAGATCGTCGCTTGTTGCGTGGCCCCAATGCTGATTGCCCGCAACATTGGCGGTTGGGTTATCTGGTAGTCATTAGCTTCAGGGATTCCAAATACAAAAGAGGACAATGACGAACACTGGTAATATAGATGATATGTGCCATTTGCATCAACAAACATCCCGTTGGGATCGTTCATGAATCCGATCGGGGGTGAGAAGTGCACTTGTGGACGGTATGCAGTACCATAGTCGCCGGACAGTGGTGTTCCGGTCGGTACATTGCTCTGCGAATATGTTGATACACCATCTCCAGTAGCAGTAGCTGAAGTGGAGGAAGCAGAAGTGGCGTTTGCTGGTGCTGGAGCCTGTTCTGAGCTGGAGGCACTGCTTGGTGGGCTCTGAGCTGTTCCAAGGCCGAGAAGACCAGCTAGCGCCAGAAACTGGGAAAGATATAATTGCATATGGTGTTTCATTCAAGCAAGCCAATAGAACGATAACGGTTGTCGGGGCGGAATTACGGTCCTTATGTAGGATAGAAGAAAATAGCTGGGACCCGGGATACCGAATCAACCAGGAAGACTAATCGTTCATGTACTGTCTCCACAGTGACGACATTTTCATACTTGCCCAGAAATGACCCAATTAGTTTGCAGCTAAAAGAGTCAGAAAGATACCATTCATGCATGTACAAATGGCCTGCTTGTAAACTTGCTTCAAGATCGATATGCGTTGCGCAAGATAAAGTGGATGCGAATGCGATCTACAGATACTTCATTGAAACTTCCCCGCAAAGTCACTGATGTTAGGTAGACGACTAGTTACATCATCGTAAAATCAAACTATGCCTTCAGTTACTACGAAACCTGGGTATTGCTGCGCGTCCAATGATGTGGACAGCCTGCTTGGCCGCGAATCACAATTTCCCCGAGACTTGCTCCGCTCGCTGCTTGTGAGAGACATGACGATCCACGCACTGTTTGTTATGCAAGATGGCTGATAATCGAGAATATAAAGACTTTTGCAAGGGAACAGGCATACAATGAGATTTCGCGTTCCAAGGGTGAGTTCGTTTTCTACATATCGAGCCCAAAATCCCAAACCTGAACCTTCCTAGTACCAAACGGGCCACCCTGTCTGACAAACAGACTCAAGATTCCATACTTGTCTAACCTTTCTTCATCGACCAATGGCTCACCAGCCATGTTAGGAATTTCAGCAAGCTTGGTCCAATTCGTATAAGCTCCGGATGCTGTCGAGGCCCATATTTGCACCGTTGACGCTGGGGCATCCGGTATGATTGCAATAACATTGTCATCTGTAGCAGCAATTTTGCCTCGATATGCGAGATAAGGTGGTGTTGACAGCCCTGGTAGGTTCATGGCAGTCTTTGTGAACTGTCCTTCTGGGGTACGCATGTAGTGGTAGAAGCGTGCAACTCCTGTGCTGTTATCACGCATCAGGGCGTGAAAGCGACCTTTCTGGTCCGCACATTGGGCCTCCTGGTTAATGATCTGACTGTTTTGTGGAATTGAATAAATTTTGATTCCTGCTGTGGATGGCGTTATCGGCTTTGCTACGGTCCGTCCATTGGATTGCCTCCAGGTGACTCCATCGTCTTGCGAGTAAGCAAAGTAGAAGTCGTGGTTGGTTTTCGCATCCGGAGTTTCGCGAACGGTCCAGGAAACGAAAAGCTTGCCACCCTGGTTGGAGATCCCGTTGATGTAAGCATTGTTGTCCTGTCCTTGGAGATATTTACCCGTATTGCTCCATTGTCCTGTGGTGGAAGAGTAGTGATGAATATACGAGTCGCCTGCTCCAGATTGCCCAATACGGAACTCCATGAGCAGATCACCACTGTCGAGGCGTTCAAAGCGTGGGTATGTCAGCGGTGTGAAGGGGCCTGTCGAGCCAGGCAGACTATGCACAACCGATCCACCAAAGGTGCTTGCAGACCAGTCTTTGGGCACAGTTTTTGCAATACCAGCATTGCTGACACGGTAATTGAGTGCTACATCATGGTGATCGAAACTCAAATGTATTCTGCCGTCACCACTAATCCCCATGCTGATGGTATTGTGTTCGTCCAGTGTTTGTTGCACGTAGTCTGTGAAGGCGAAAGACTGCCATTCGCCGAAGGTGGGCGAAATCTGGCGGCGACCCAGATTGACATGATGTTTCCCATAGCCGGTCACTGTTTTGTAGAAGGCTACATACTGATGGTTGCCGAATGTAGTCAGAGCATGCTGTTGGAAAGAAAGACCGTTTAGTCGAACGCTACCCTCGACATCATTGGTTATGTTGTAGGTATTGACTGATTTGACTGATAGCGCTGCAACAGAAGAAGATAATAATGTCCAACCAGCGAAAAACCTGGCGAAAAACCGCATGATTGCTCTTGGATTCTGCTGCCATGGGCGCCGGACACACTGCCGTGCTTAATATATGCTGGGTTGAGCGTAGGGTTATGGCTAATTGGCAAATCAACATCACGAGAGCACTTTATCCATTAGGCTGCTCGAGCTGATCTCGGTTTCTCCGCATATCTACCATGTTTGAGTGACCTGGAATCCGGGGTACTGAGAAGGTGATCTACCCTGGCAGGGGTTCCAAATGGGGTTAGCTCGTCGGCGAACCATTGTCGCGAAGCGGATTTTCGGTCTATTGGCACTGCGATCATGAACAGGTAGAAGACGAAGGTGTACTCAGTTCAGAGAAGACTGGAAAATCACATGAGGAACATGGAACAGCGCTTTCCATGATTCTCCAGTGGTCGCAGTTGTCGTATCTAGATTCGGGCCAACATGGAAACTGTATTTTGACGTCGATAGGTAGGTACCTATGTAGGGGGTCGACATGTCACGTGATTGATAGTGTAAAGCCCAATGGCTTCCCGCTTTGTATCTGGGGATTATTGGCGAATGGTATATGGTGGTGGAAGTCATGATTTATAGATAGTACTATGTAGTAGACAGATAGACGTACTGTCGTACATAGTACTGTAGAGTGCCGTGGTCCGTGGCGGTTCGTGGCGTTGGCAACCTCCTGTGCCCCGCTTTAGATGCCTATCTACTACCGGTACATGGATACAGTACCTATGCATGGTCTTGATACCGTGCACAATGTTATCGCAACATCTCGTATCTCGAGACATTTCGAATCGCGCGCGTCCAGATTCTGCGCTGAATTGATCTGCTCTGCTTTGCACTGCATGATCAGCCCTTTGCTTGGCTTAAGGAATTCTTCAGCCATGATTACCTGCATGCAAGCACAACTCTGGCAGCAAGGACGATTCTCACGACTGGACGAGGAAGCGTACGACAAATCTGTTTCTCAGGAACAGAAGCTAAACTATTTACCGGCCGGTACTGAGCCGCGTCCATGTCAATCAACGCAAGCCTCCATTCCCACGATTCGTCACTCACCACGCATGACAAACACCAAGCTTTGGCCGACCCGCAGCCACCGTATATCCGATAAAAACCCATCAACTAGACCTGCAATTGACCGTCCCCAGCATTACCAGAAGAGGCAGGAGCAACGATCGCCAAGTACGCGACTCTTGGCCCAACCGCAACTAACTGACACTGACGTACCGTTATCGATTGAAAATGGGGGTCAAGCCGAGTCGTATAAAGCGTTAACAATGGCTTGGGGTCGGCAATGGGTGTTGTCATCTGCGTACGCCTACCGAGTCTGAGAAGGAAAAATGGTTCATCCATGGAGCACAGTGCTCTTCGCAGTAACCGTATTAGCAAAGTCTCAGTACGGTGAAAACCACGTCGCCATCAACTTTGACTCGCAGCTTGTAGAGAAGACGGCGTTTCCGGAGCCCAATGTCACGCTACATAGTCCTGCATTTCGGACGAATGCTACCTTGACCCCTGGTTGGCTATTTGGGACGGAGGGTGTCACGTCGCCTTCCCAGCTCAGTAAGTCTGGAGTATCCATTCGATTGGGAATCGTGCAAGAGACTGATCTACACCTAGATGACTTCCTGCGCAACATTGCAGAGAAGAATCCGACATGGGCAAAGTACGACGTGGCGCCTTTTGTGAGCGAAGAGGGAGAAGCATTCCCTTATGTGTACTTGTCCACTACGGGGAACAGCACCTCCCATAAGCTGAGAGTATGGATTCAAGCTTCCGTCCACGGCAATGAGCCAGCTGGCGATGAAGCGACGCTCGCGCTTCTCGGCGCTATGGATCAAGATCCTGGGTGGGCATTGGGATTCCTGGAGAAGATGGATGTTCTTGTCCTACCACGGTACAATCCCGATGGAAATGCTTGTAAGTTTTTATGAGTTATTCCATCATTTCAAAGACAGCCTGATTCCCTATGCTGTAGAATTTGCATATACCTGCCGCACTCAAGATCGAGAACAAACATGCAATCCAGCGACTCACACACAACTTGCAGACTTTCAACGTGCTTTGGCAACCAATTTCGACCCAAACAGAGATCACACAAAGCTTTTCCGCCAACAGACCCGTGATATCAAGGCCTGGTTTTCATCCTACGCGCCCAACATCGCAGTTGACTTGCATGAATATGGCGCCGGTACCCGATACGCCCGTGACTACAGCAATGCGGCAGACGGCATGTTCAGCGCAGCAAAGAATCTCAACATCCACCCAGACATTCGGAGACTGAGTGAGACAGTATTTGCACCTGCTATTCAGGAGAGTCTGGAAAGCGCGGGCTTGAGGGGTGAGCCGTACGTGACGGCGTCGCGGACGAATGGAACGCCCATCTTGGACGAAGCCGGTACGGACGCGAAGATTGGGCGGAATGCCATGGGCTTGACACAGTGTGTCACCTTTCTCACCGAAACTCGCGGCATAGGCATTGCAAGCCAGTCGTTCAAACGCCGAACGTATGCGGGTCTGCGCATGATCCTCGGGGTGTTGAACACAGCGCGGGACCAAGCTGCCAATGTGCAAAAGACGATTGAAGACGCTATTGACGACTGGGAGCAGAGTAAAGAGGACATTGTGGTCACCGACTACACGACCTCTGCGAATCGCACGTATACCATGGTCGATCGACGCAACGGCGAGGTGGTGCAATTACCGGTAGAATTCAGCAGTGCTACGCCCGCCATGGCAAATCTCACGCGCACACGGCCAGAAGCCTATATCATCCCGCGCGCATGGTCTGATCTAGCTGATCGTCTGCGCGTCTCGGGCCTCGAGGTCGAAACGCTAGACGAGGGATTTGAGGGTCAGGTGGAAGTCTACAACATCACCTCTAGCAGCCTCGCATCCTCCTACTACGAAGGTACTATCCTCAATACCGTCACTACACAGACACTGGTCCAAAAAGTCAGTCTACCCAAGGGCAGCTTCTGGGTCAGCAGTGCGCAGAAGAATGCGGGCTTGGCTTTTGTCGCCCTGGAGCCAGAGAACATTGATTCCTATGTTAGTTTTGGCATTGTACCGATGGAGGTTGCCGATCTCTACCCCGTGTTCAGAACGGTGTAGATGGCCGTGCTCGACTGTTGGATGCTTCTCTATCAGAATTCAAAACTACAACATTACAATAGAAATTTTGCATGTCTCCCGTCACCCGCTTCCATCCTTCATGGTGGAGATTCCCTCTTTTCACGCCTACTCAACCACTCGGCAAACCAGGTAACAGCCCTATCTTTACCTTTGGCCATGGCCTCCTTCTCGCCTTCCAACCGTTCACGTCCCTTGGACAGACAGCCATGTTGTACGCCAGGCAAATGCACATACTCAAACGGCACGCTCTTCTTCTGCACCACCATCTTCTGGAAAGCATATGCCTTCATCTCCTCGGAAAACTGGGAATCGATTTCTGGAGCCAGTACCATGATCGGTGCCTCGACATGATCCCAGTCTTCGTTGGTGATCCACGACGGGTGCGCAACGACTGCTGCATCGACGACGGGCGGGCGGCCATTGATACGAGAGGCTAGTCGAAGGACGCCCCAGCCACCATAGCAGTATCCGACAGTGCCGATTTTGGAGTACCCGTGCTGAGAGCGTAACGCAGTAGCACAGGCAAAGATTTCCTTTTCTCGGATAGCCCGATCGTTGCGCTCGCGGAAGCCGGCCATGTCGATGTCGGCGAAGCGCTCTTCCAGGATGGCTGTTGGGTCAAGGGTTTCGCCGCCGAAGAAGTCGGGTATGTAAACGGTTACGTTTGCCTGAAGGCTATGTTACTAATCAAGTTTATTTTTCTTCACACTTGTCATGTCAATGCTGCAGAAAATGCAATGGTCTGGATGAAGAGCCCAGGGAGGAAGAAAGTAGAAGTGAGAGTTTGGGGGAGTATCACTTCTTTTGCAATATGGTCAGCAAGTAGTCTGGCATTCTTGAACCGCCAGCCAAGAGCATCGTGGATGAAGAGGATTGCGGCATCGGTGCTGGAGCCGGTGATGTAGGTGGAGTTCTCCGCGAGAGTAGATTCATGGCCGGCGGGCGTGCCACTCCAAGCAAAGCTTTTGAGACAACATGGCGAAAAGGTGTGTTGTGTGGCTGCCATCTTGGAGGGAAAGACTTTGATAAGGGGAGAGAAGAGAGTGATGAAGCTATCTATTTAAGAGATCAGGAGTGGTGAAACTGATGTCCGATTGATGGCGACAATCTGTCTCTGGCATCTCTCCTACATGCAAGATTTTTCTATACGTTAGGATATGCCGGTTAGGATGTCTGAATCGTGTTGGTAGTGTGATGCCTGTCTTCCATGACGAATCAACGTTGCAGGGTTTCGGCCCACACAGTGTTTCTTTTTTGCATGTCCATGTGGATCTCAGGCGGATTGGAGAGGAGTCGAGCTAGGTCAAAAGAAGATCAGGCAGGAGTGGTGAACAGATGGTCGATCGAGGGCGACCATCTGCCCCTGGTGTTAGTCATTCATGTACATGCACGGTAATTCTTTACGTTGGGCTATACCCCTTTGACATGTCTAGGTCGTGTCGCAAGCAGGATGGCATGTCTTGCATGACGAGTCAAGGTTGCGGGCTTTTGGCCCGCTCAATACATACATTTCTTCCATGTCCGTGTGGATCTCAAACGGAGTCCGAACCGCCGTTGAAGGCCGGCGCTGTTGAGAGGCCTATTGTATGTAGTACTATGTATGTTATGCGTCTAAAAGAGCAATGTGTTGCAAATCTAGCACCGAGTGAGAGTGATGAACTCGTCATGTCGTGAAGCCCACAACGCCTGTACATTACCGTACCACGCCTCCTCGAGGGCGCATGTGAATCAGGGTGGAAATCTTGGGGTAGGTTGAAGCAGCGAGAAGAATGATGGAGTGTAGCAATAACACAAAGAAGGCGGGCTGTCCAGGCTCCAATCGTCGTCGTCTCCTGCCCGGGCATGCCGGGGGACGGAATGTCGGGAGCAGCCGCTATCGCCGATTGATGAGGCTTAGAAATTCCTCCCTCGTCTTCGCGGTGGAGCGCATGCGGCCGAGCATGCAACTGGTGGTTGTCGTCGCGCCCGTCTTTTGCACGCCACGCATGACCATGCAAAAGTGGCTAGACTCGACGACGACTGCAACGCCTTGCGGTTGCAGCATCTCGGACAAGGCAAGCGCGACCTGTTTGGTCAGCCGCTCCTGCACCTGGAGGCGCCGGGCAAACATTTCCGCGATGCGCGCGAGCTTGGAGAGGCCAATGACTCTGCGGTTGGGAATGTAGCCAATGTGCATCTGCCAGTAGAAGGTTAGCCGAGCCTGTGCTTAATCAGCGCACTCCGTCGGCGGCTGGGAGTGGGCATGGGGCATGGGAGAATGAGACATGGGGGCATGGGGGCATGGGAGAATGAGACATGGGGGCATGGGAGAATGAGACATGGGGGCATGGGGGCATGGGGGCATGGGAATCGAAGGGGGGGGTAGCCATGCCTTGCCCGTAAAGGGGACCAGGTGGTGCTCGCAGAGCGAGAAGATCTCAATGTCCTTGACAATCACAAGCTCGTCATGGTCCTCGTGGAAGACGGCGCCGTTGACAATGTCGCGCAGGTTCTCCTCGTAGCCCTTGGTGAAGAAGAGCATGGCCTTTGCATATCGCTCAGGCGTGTCGAGCAAGCCCTCGCGGTCGGGATCCTCTCCCAGGCACTCGAGCATGGTGCGCACCGCTCCCGACAGCTTCTTCAGATTCGCCGCCTTTTCCTCCTCGGTTGCGTCTTTGCGTCCGCGCGTGCCTTTGCTCGGCCAGCTGAGGCCATCAAAGTCGAGCGTGGGATGTTGCGTGTACGGACTGTGGGCGCGGCTGGTGGCCAGCGGCGTCTGCGCAACCGCGTCCTCGCTGCAGCCCTCGACGTCCGTATCGCCATGGCGGCCGCCGTTGTCATCGTCAGCGGCATCGTCGTCGTCCTCGTCGTCGTTGTTGTGGTTACTGCTGCTGTTGCCGCCACCGCCGTTGGTCCTTGCTACTCTCGCCGCCCTCGCCGCGGAGGAGGCCTTTGCATGTGCGGGCAAGGCGCCATAGCCATTGGGTCCGTCAAAGTTGACAATCTGGCGGCCTCGGTTGGACGTCTCAATGGCGTTGAAGAGATTCTCGCGCTCTTTCTGGTCACGCACCTCCTGCGACACTCGTACAGGCAGCCGACCATTTCCCATATGTGTAGGCAGTGCTGACACGGGCTTTGCAGCATCCGAATCCATGGTGCGGGCGGGCCAATGGACGGAGCGGTAGGAGGGAAGAGCAAGGAGGGGGCGGGGCAGGATAGTGGGATGTATGTGGTGTCAGCGATGTGGAATGTGTTTGTGCGTAGGTAAGCGTGCGTCTTTTCTAGATGTGATGCGGGCACCCGGTCCTTGTCGTTTGGCGTTTGTAGTTTGTGGGTTGTGGGTTGTGGGCTGTAGGCTGTAATTGTTGACTGTAGTTTGTGGTCTGTAATCTGTAGTTTGTAGTTTGTAGGTTGTAATCTGTAGTCTGTATAGTCTGTAGTCTGCGCTCACTCTGGCGCATGCTTAACCCGAGGAAAGGGTGGGGAAGGGCGCGAGAGGGAGAGAGCAAAGAGAAAGACAGACAGGCAGACAGAGTTTGAAATCATCATCTGTCCTCATAACATGTCTGCAATGGATCTTCTTTTTGGCCTGCGACGCCGATGGCGGAAAAAAAAAGAGACTAGCTCCTCTCTCCTCCTTCGATGTACTAGGAGAGTCCCCAAGGCTAGGGGACGTCGAACTCCCGTTTACTTTGTGTGCCGCCAAGGAGAATAACGCCAAAATGCAGTGCGCCCGCCTGTAATGCTATAGTATGTAGTAGTAGTAGTAGTAGTAGTAGTAGTAGTAGTAGTAGTAGTAGTAGTAGTAGTAGTAGTAGTAGTAGTAGTAGTAGTAGTAGTAGTAGTACTCTACTCTAGTCTTTTCCAGACGCCACGCCACTCCAGCTCTTTGGTGGCGGAGTGTGGCGGAGTGTGGCGGTGCATGTCACGGGGTACGGGGTACGGGCGGGAGTTGTCTGGAAGGCGTTAAGGTACACCTGATGAATGCAACATTGAACACCTGGGCCACCTTGGGGGAACACTCACTCACTCACACACTCGACTCACACTCACACACATACATGCATACAACCCCCCTCCTTCACCACGCCATCCCCACGCCATCCTTCCACCATCGACGCTGGCCTCGCATTGTCTGGTATGTAGCCCACTGTCAGTACTTGGTGCAATGGGAAGCGGGAACACACCACCCTGTGTCGCGTCTGCGCACCGACGCAGCCCGCTGACTGCGGACGGGAGCTGTCTTCAAGGCAAAGGCCCTCTCTCCAAAGGCCCCGCCTCGCCAACTCGACTTGACTCTCTGCTCCCCGCTTCTTCCCAACCAGCCCACCAACCCTTCTCGTGGCTGTTGACCGTCCAACTTCTCCATGTACTATGCTACATCAACCCCACAATCGACCCCCAAACCCCCAAGCTGGCACATGATCAACCCCCATGAGGCACACAGGTCGATTCCACACACACACACACACACACACACACACACACACACACACACACACACCCCTCACGTTGGCTCACGGCGACATTTCTTCATGGCGCGCCATGGCAATGCGCTGTATACTAATCAACTTCTGCTACCGGCTCTCCTGCACACACCATACTGCCTTGCTATGGCCAGTGTGTCAGGCCAACTACCTGCCTCCACCTGCCAGTTTGCTGCTCTGCATGGTCCAGACCAGCTGAGCTCTCATCAACAAACCCTTTTCTTCTTCCAGTCTGCCAGGCAGTACGCACATGGCCATTGTCTTCACACAGAGATAGCTCGCACGCTGACGATGCATCCGCCTCACTGTGTCCTGATGTTCCTGAGGAGGCCTTGCGCTCTACGTTGCCAACCTCTGTCGTCACGGTTTGAAGTTGGGCTTCCAGGGTGGGGTAGGAATCTCGCTGTGTCGCTGCAAGGCCATCTTCAACCCCTAGCAGACTCATCCCTCCCCCCCAAAACTCTCCCGAGTGTGAGTGTACACTGGACCACGTCTCTCTGTTCCCACTTGGCTTAACCTTGGTCGTGTTGCATCAACAAGTTTACGTGCGACTTCCCCTGTTCGTACAACGAGCGTCGAGGAAAGCAGGCCGTGGCGGCAGCGCATCACAGCGAGCCACTTTCTTTTGGGATGGCCTCGCCATCTCCGTTCTTTCTCTCTTCCTGATCCGTCACCACTCCCTTTACGACGCCGCCTGCTATTCTATCACCAAAGGGCTAGCATCTTCATTCTACGCGCGTGGGTTATCTAGCTGGTAGTATGTCTGCTGTCAGCGGCGAGCGGGCAGGCGAACAGCCGGCTGCTGTTGTGTGTGATTGTCCCCTGCATTAGATAGCTATTGTGAACATGGGGGCGCGCTCCAGATAGAGGCTGGATCAAGCGTGGGCTTCTGTGCCCGGTGGACGGCTATCAGCTGGAAGGAGAGGCTCTCTCACAGATCTCAGACAGAGGCCATGCAGAGCATCCACTCGATACATGCTTGAAAAGAAGTTGGGGACCTGAAGGGCGGGTCTTCTCGCGAGGCCCTCCTTGTCACGAGGCTTGGCGCCGTCGGTAGCGGCATGCAAAAGACCACTGGGCGAAGAAGTGCGGCCAGGGCAACCACAACACCAAACTGAGACGGACATTCACGACAGCTTCTCACTACTACCCGCATTCGCCGAGGGATTCTAGCCCCTTTGTCGGCCCTGTTCCCCCTCGTCTGCAGCCTGTCCTTCTTGCCGCGAGACCAACATCGCGGTGGCGGAGACTGACAAGGTCGAGTTCTGACGCTCGGTCCGCCGTGGCTCGCCAGACCCGCGAACCTCTTTGCTGCTGCCCACGCTCTACCACGCCTGCTGATGCTACTCCTGCCTACATGGCTGCCCTGCGACGGGCCCCAGAGATAGACCAGTGGCGACCCGAGGACTCGCCTAGCAGAGGTAGAGACCGAGACGGAGAGCGAGACGGAGAGCGAGAGCGCCCCAGGGAACGGCCACGGGAGCGCAACCACGAACCCAGAGCTTCGTCACCAGCGCCACGCGCTGCGAGGGATTCCTCTAGACGTCGCACCCACGACCTCGACACGTATCCATCGAGCCGGCCCCCACGAGGCCGTTCTCGCGACCCTCGCAGCCCAGGCAGAGAGCGCACGCGTCGTCGCAGCCGTGGAGAGTCGAGGGACCATCCTCACGAGCGAGGCTCCAAGAGAGGGGGATCCAAATCCAGATCCAGCGTCGATCAGGCTCCACACGCACATCGACACCACCACGACCAACACCACCACGACTATCATCATCATCATCACCAGCACACTCATTCCCATCGCGACTCGAGCCCCTCCTCCAAGCGCCATCGCAGCCGCTCGCCGTCTCCAGGAGGCTCCCTCAAGCGGGCAAGGCGTATCAGGAGCCAAAGTCCCCTAGGCTCGCCAACGAGGACCCGACGTGCAGAATCAACCCACCGTCCCATCGACCGACCTTCCTCCCCACGGCCATTGCGAGCTGACCGTGATCGAGCGCCCCCGGCAGACACGTACATTCCACCAACATCCAGCCGCCGTCACTCTCCGTACACTGACCCCCGCTACAGACCAGCAGCCCACGGAGTGCACCGGCCGTCGAAAACACCTGATAGGTCGTCACGGCGTGAGCCAACGGCTGGCAAATCGTCGCCCAGAAGATCTGGTAGGCGGCCCGCTAGTCCGTTCGACGAGCCCAGGGCCCGACCGCCCCCTCGTCCCACACGCGAGAGAGAAAGAAGTCCTGGTCGTACAATTCGCAGTCGTAGCCATAGTCGTAGTCGTGCACATAGACCTGCTGCACGGTCCCGCTCGCCCCTCCGCAGACCATCTCCTCACGTCGCTCGCAGGAGCTCACCAATTCACGCACAGCGCACCAGGACCTCGCCGCACCGGAGTCGTTCGCCCCGCGCACGTCTGCGCCATCGGACGACTCGAGCACGTTCTCCTGTTGGCAAGCTACCTCGCTTAGACCACGAGCACACTGCTGACAACCCATCTGTTCCCCCGAGGAGATCCACCTCTCGCAAGCCTTCGCCCGTGGCTTCTTCAGGCTACCACTCAGACACTTCTAGGGGTAGAGACGAAGGGTCTAGGATGAGAGGTGGCGCATATCAATATCAGGGTCGTGGTGGTCCTGGCCTCCAACACTCCCACTCCCCGCCCTATTCTGCGCACAGTCAATATCCTGCACAGGGCCACTCTCCTTATCAAGGTGCTAGAGGAGGTGGTTGGAATGGTCAATCCCACTTCAACCAAGCATCTCCAATGCACCATTCGCCAAATCAGTCACCCCATCTCCAAAACAGCCAGTCCCCAGGCTTCTATCCAAATCAGCATTACCCACAAACCGCCTTTCAGAACAGCCCGCACAGGGGTGTCCATGGCGGCTTCAGAGGCACTCATTTCAATGGCCCTGACCGACGACCTTCTGGCCCTGGTCCCAGCACTCCGTTTGGCGCTCAAGGTGGTCGCGGCCGCGGTGCTGCCCCAACTCAATTCTCGAACCTCTCTTGGACACCGGCTTCAGGTACCCGCGGTGGCCGCCCTGCTACAGAAGCCCCACGCCCACAGCCTCCGCCAGCCGTGGCAGCGTCAGGCGACTCGGCCTCGGTCGACGCTGACGACAATCCTTTCCGTCCATCCAAGGACTTGCGTGTAGAGGATGAAGGCGCCAAAGAAGAAAATAATGCCTTGTTGCCTGCGAAGCCGCCTACTGCTGCTCCTGTACAAGCGAAGTCTGGGTTCAGCTTCTCGCTCAAGACGAAGAACCCTGTGCCCCCTGCGAGCAAGGCCAAGCCGGACTTGGAAGAGCCTGCGAAGCAAGACATTATATCAAAAGAGTCGTTGCTTGATCCAAAGGCAAAAGAGGTGGCCGCTCGCGATTCTGGTTCGCGCTATCCACCTGATTCGAGGCGCGATAGGAGTCGTGATTCCAGAGACAGAGACTATGACCGAGACCGTAATCGAGCCTACCGGGATCGAGAACGTCGCTATGATGACCCTTATGACAGAAAGCCTAGCTACAGAGATCCTCGCGATAGAGAGGCTAGAGATCCACGAGACACTTATTACCGTGATAGGGAGAGAGATTACAGGCATGCACGGGACAGGAAGGCACGTGATCCACGAGACCTTCGAGACCTTCGGGACGTCAGAGATCGAGATCCACGAGATTTGCGGGATCCACGAGATTTGCGGCATCCACGAGACTTTCGTGATCCTCGCGACCATCGCGGCGTGGATCGGAGAGAAGTCAATCTGCCTCGTCGACCCGATGTTCGACCTGGAGTCCGACCTGATCGGCGATCACCGCCTCCTGAGGTACCAAGAACGAAGACGGTGGTAAGAAAGCGGATGAAGCCACGGCCAACGCTTCCCACTGAGCATGCTGCCTCAGACTCGGTGTATTACAGAAAACCAGGCAATGAGTCTGTCGTGGGTTCAGGCACGTACGGCAAAGTCTTCAAGGGCGTCCATGTGTACACAAAAGATATGGTGGCTCTAAAAAAGATTCGGATGGAAGGCGAACGCGATGGTGTAAGTACTCAATTCCAGCCAAAACCGAAAGGATCAAAATACTAAACTGGAATTAGTTCCCCGTCACTGCGATAAGAGAGATCAAACTCCTGCAGTCCCTAAAGCACGACAACGTCGTGAAGCTCCGAGAAGTCATGGTCGAAAAGAACGACTGTTTCATGGTGTTCGAGTACCTCTCCCACGATTTGACAGGCCTGCTGAACCACCCAACCTTTAAACTCGAAGCCTCCCACAAAAAGGACCTTGCCAAACAACTCTTTCAGGGCCTAGACTACCTGCATCGTCGCGGGGTTCTTCATCGCGACATCAAGGCCGCCAATATTCTCGTCTCCAACACTGGACAGCTCAAACTCGCAGATTTTGGACTGGCACGATTCTATGCAAAAAGTGGCAAATTAGACTACACGAACCGTGTCATTACGATCTGGTACCGGTCCCCTGAGCTACTGCTTGGCGAGACGCAGTACGGGCCTGCAGTTGATATATGGTCCGCCGCATGTGTGTTGGTTGAGATCTTCACCCGGCACGCTATTTTCCCTGGCGACGGCGGCGAAATCAACCAACTCGACAAGATCTACAATGTCCTTGGAACTCCCACCGTGACCGACTGGCCCGGCCTCCTAGACATGCAATGGTTTGAGCTCCTCCGTCCCACGGAGCGGAAACCCTCGACTTTTGAGGAAAAGTACAAGGACCGTGTCAGTCCCGCCGCGTTCGAACTACTACAAGCCATGTTCCTCTATGACCCAGCTGCAAGGCCTACAGCGGCAGATGTACTAGAGCATCCTTTTTTTACGAGTGAGTCGCCAAGAGCGGAAAGGGCGCTCGCGTTGAGTGAATTGAAGGGGGATTGGCATGAGTTTGAGAGTAAGGCGCTGAGGAAAGAGAAGGAGAGGGTGGACAAGGAGGCGCGCAGGGCAGCAAGAGAGGACGAGAGCGTGAAGAGGAGAGGAGAGGGCGGTGGGGAGGAGCGGGAAGCAAAACGGGTGAAGGCAGAGGGCCTTTGAGAATAGTCAGCAGTTAGTTTGTATGATAGGAGGCTCGAAAGAGGGGGGGTTGCAAAGAGAGATGATGGCAAATGTTACAGTAATTTCTATTAAGGACACATTTCGTACAGGAGAGTATCATGTGCGCACATTGGTGATTATCAAAACCGATTGGAGTCTGATGCGACGGATCGTTGCTTGGGTAAGAGGGGACAAGGTGGGCACCGGGAAAGTATTCATTCTCTCATGAGGTTATCTATACATGTATTCCGTGGTGGCCTTTGGACACGGAGGCATCCACCCTGGTTGGTAAGTCATATGTGACATTAGACGTAAAGTAAAGGAGTTTGGATTTGTACAAGAACGAGTCACTTTGTTGGAAGCACCTGAAGACGTCTGAGGGGTACCTCTATGAAAGAACGCCCTCATCACCCTACTCTATATGTACAGAGTCCACCACCGCTAGGCCTTTGAAGAAAAAAAAAAGACTCGGAAGTAGTAGAATGTAAGGAAATGCTTCCCTTTGACAGGACCGTGGCATGCGCTACTTCGCTGTACTATGCCGCAGAAACAATACTATGTATGCCATGCCCCTCCCCCCCACACACGAAACAGGCCATCCATACTTCGCTTCGCTAAATGTATGCGCAGGTACTGTGTGCAAAACGTAGAGCCGATGTGTCCAGTCCTGGCCATGTGGCGAGCTCAAATTTCACCACCCACGCCTAGGACGCCGCTGCAAACATAGACTTGGCAGTGGGATCGGGCAAGGACCTGGTAAACTCGTCTTCCACGTCCTCGTCAACATTGTCTTCTTGTGCGGACAGACGTTGCTGCTCACTTGTGCCCTCGTAGACGACTACTCCTTCCTCAAACTCCTCCATCACGTTTCCTGCACTATCGATTTCCAAAGTCTGTTCGCGTTGAACGACTTGTTTGCTGTGGAGCTGCGTGGGCGCCAAAGAGGATTGACCCGGCATGGAGACATGTTGCTCTGAGGATGAGGCGGAAACTTGTTCTTGGGGAGCTTGAAAGGCACGATTGAGGCCCTGCTCTGGATCGGGTGATGACGATCCTTGCTGTGGGTCGGTATCATGCTCGCTCTCTGAACCAGATGATGTTGCAACATCATTTACGTCTCCCTTGGCGCCTGCGGTTGCGCTGGTCAGGTCGACGTCTTCCTCTCCCTCTGCCTCTCCTTCGTGTCCCTCTTCCTCTTCTGCATCCTCCACAGCCTCGTCTGCAAGTTCATCGTCGGCAGCAGATCCCTCGCCATTCTCTAGGGGTGTAGCCAGTGACTTGTCGGCATCAGCAGCTAGCAAATTCTTGTAGAACTCCTGGACTGCTTTGGCGAATTTGTCGGGAATCTCGAGAGTTGTGAGACCGCGGCGTTTGCGTGGAGCACCGACTTTTCCGGGCTTCACTACCGGCGACTTAGTAGCCTTCTCGACGATGACGATTCCGGGCTTGCGGCCAGCAGACTTCTTGGAAACTGCGGTCTTCTTGAGCACATCAGCCTTCTTTGGCGCCGATGATTCAGCGACCACCTTCTTGGGACGACCGCGCTTGGTGGGCTGAGGAGCTCGCGCTTCCTGTGCCACCTTGGTGGACGCGGGGAGACGGGTGCGCAGCTTTGAGCGTATGCGCGGGTCCAGGCGGGATGTGCTCATGGCAGCAGCTCTACTGGGCTTGGGCGCGGTCTTCTTGGTGCGGAGTGAAGTGCGCTTGGTGACGCGGGGAGAGCCAGCGACGAGGTTGAGATTCACAGCTGCCTTGGCTGCAGGGCGGCCGTGCTTAGGTGTAGCAGAATCTGCCTTGGTGGCAGTCGTGGGCGCTTTTTCTTTGCGAGGACGACCGCGACCAGCCGACTTCTTACCGGACATGGGCGCGACAGCCATGTCTGCGACTACCGCCTGAACATCTGTTTCTGCCTTTTTCGGGGGCCTGCCGCGCTTCTTCGGAGGCTCAGCAGCGACCTCAACAGCCTCAGCCGCCTTAGCAGGACGACCTCGTTTTGCTGGCGTTGTGTTTGCGACAGGCGCGAGTGCTATGGCTGGCGCGACGGCTCTCTTGGGGCGTCCACGTCCTGCCGGCGCCTTCGTTCGCGCGTTAGGAGCCATGTTGGAAACTACAAAGGCTCTGTGCAGAATTCAAACACGTTTAGCAAGTGTCTCTGGGCAAAGGTGGTGATGTGACACGCAAAGACGCGGTTCGATTGTTGTTGTTGTTGTTGTTGTTGTTGTTGTTGTTGTTGTTGTTGTTGTTGTTGTTGTTGTTGGAGAAGATGAGGTGGAGGAGCGTCTCACCAAGCTAGCAATACCGGTAAGGGTTAGATAATCACTGGTACCGGTACCTCCCGAGCCAACATTACTACCACTTCCCAAATCATGTGACGACATGGGATCGTGCTTCACATCAATGGTGACGCCCCCAACTTGCAAGCTTTAGTCGCTTTCTTTCCTCGTTTGCTCTCTACCTCTCTACCATACGAGTTTACTGGCCATTCTGCCTTCACCTCCTCTGGGTTATTTCCGGGCTAACACAAAATCCTCATAATGACATCCGTCAAGAGTTGACCGGGGAGTGAATTCAATCGACCAGTTACGCAGCAAACAAGCGTCAAGTGGACGGGGAGCCAAGGTTTCCCAGAAGAGCGAGTATACAATTTGATGCACATCTGAGTTAGTTCATGGTTAGACAACCATGTCTTAGAAGTCACAATGTAGCGAGCACAATTCTCCAAAACCAAAACCAAAAAAAAAGAAAGAGTACAGGTAGTAAACGTAAACTAAACACCGGAAATGCGTTTTATTGAATTGGTTTTGTCCATCGTACCCTCGTGTACCAACACGTCCATGGTATACTGCCCATCATACACCGAAATATGGCAGTGACAATTCACTGATTCTATAAGAAGAGAGATATGCACCCATACTGCCGTACCAAAACAAGATGCCGCATGAGAGAAAAACTAAAGATTAAACCCAACCGTATATCATCATCTACTCGGCCTTTTTGGAAACCTTAGTACGGAGTTTCATCATCAGGTAGACCAGGCCATAACTGGAAAATACAAAAATGACACAAATGGCCGCGTTGCGCCATCCGTAATAATAGTCGTTGAGGTTGACAGTGACAAGATAGTCACTGCCACGAGTGTACTGGCAGACGCGACACTCCATAGTAGCGTCCGGGTTAACCAAGTTGGTGCGGGCACCAGGGCCGTTCAACCACGCATCCAAGTATTGTCCACAAGTTTGACCAGAAGGAGGGTCGAATGTGGCAAACTCACTGTCTGTGCATTTGATCTCCCGGTCGAAATCGGTAAACACGAGAAGCGCGCCCATGAGGTAGTTGAAGGGATTGAGCCAGTACATCCAATATCTCCAAAACTCTTGGATCTGCGCATACGGGACGAGCACACCGCAGAAGCAGGTCAGCGTACCCAGGAGGAGGGGGTTGACGAGCGATGCGAAGACGGGATTGGGTGCGTAGGCTGCCACGAATTGACCAATGCCAGTGTACATGAATTGGTACGCAAGCATAACGAAGAAGACTGCGCCAGCTTTGTCAGATCCGGACGGCAACCCCTGAGAGTAATAGGAACAGAGGAAGTAGGCTATGGCGCATAGGATGAGATACGGTATCTCACTGACGATGAGCCCAGTGACGAAAGCAACCCATGAATACATTTTTGACTTCTTCTCTCGAGTTTCGTAAAGGTCCCGACGTTCGATGAAGAGAGGCTGAAGTTGTGCGATGACACCGGGTGCGACGAAAACATAGTTGAAGAGGGCAAAGAGGAGAATCGACTGTTCCGATACCGAGTCACCAATCTGCCAGAAGGTGAATCCTATGAACAGGGCAATACCAATGTGCAGAGCAAGCTTGTTGTTCGTGTAGTCGATATTGCGGTACAGACTGATGTTCATCCTTTGAGTGACAAGCTTGGTCTGCGACCAGAGATCTATGGCAAACTCGTGGCCGTCGTCAGTCGTTCCTGTTTCCTTGCCTGCTGCTTCGGTAATAATATGATCTAGATCGCGGTGCATCTTCTCAGCTTCTGGCGACTCGAGCCAGACCTTGTTCCAGTCCTTGCCATGGGCTCCCGTCACCACATCAATCATGTGCTCTGCAGGATTGGCATTGGGTGGACAAGGTGCGTCATAGCGCGCGAAGTACTCCTTGATCGTCTTTGCGTTCTCACCAATTTCACCAAAGTAGACCGTTTTACCGCCCTTGGCGAGCAGCAGAAGCGTATCGAATTGAGCGAAAAGTTGGGCAGACGGCTGATGAATAGTGACCAAGACGGCTTGACCAACGTCGGCCAATTTTCTAAGGAATCGCATGGTATTAAAGGCAGCCTGGCCATCCAATCCAGAAGTGGGCTCGTCGAGGAAGATCAAAATTGACGGCTTGGAGACCAATTCGACACCGATCGTGACGCGCTTCCGCTGTTCGACAGAGAGACCTGCGCCAAGACGTCCTATCAAAGTGTGTTCAAGATCCCGAAGCTCAAGGAGATCAATGATCGTATCAACATAGGCAAGTTTCTCCGCTCTGGGCGTGTCGCGGCTCTGGCGCAAGAGGGCTGAAAATTCAAGCGCTTCTCGGACGGTAGAGAATGCCTCATGGACATCAAGCTGCTCACAGTATCCTGCTGAACGCTGAAATGAGACTGGCAACGGACGCCCATCTACCAGAATCTCGCCATGTATGGTTCCCTCAGTTTTGCGCTGGGCAAGGACATCCATCAATGTAGTCTTACCTGCACCCGAGGATCCCATGAGCGCACCAAGCATGCCTGGTTTGACATAGCCGTGAACATTGTCCAAAAGTGTTCTGTCTCCGCTTGGAGTTTTGACGATGTAGGACAAGTTTCTCCAAGTGAATACTGAGGTGTTGCGTATCAGATTGGCACCAAGAGATTGCGAATTCCCAGTTCCAGAACCATCATGAGCAGGTGCCTTCTCAGTCACTTGAGCTTCCTCGTCTCGCTGCGATGCATGTTGGGCAATCTTGCGGTTTTCACGAGGTATCACAAGCGATCCTCCCGAACCAGCAGCATCATCCCATCCCAGGGTGAAGAAGATCGTAAGTGCAACGAACAGAAACCACCAAGCGAACAAGATACCGACATTGCGCCACACATTATCGTGCGAGTATGAGAGGCCAGCCAAGTAGTCGTCGCCCAAGACGGATGTGGCTCCAGGCAATGCGCCGCGAACACCGGCACAGGCGGCACTGGTAGTGTTCTGGTATTCTGGAAGGAAGTTCGGGATGAGATTGGCGTTGACGCAGGGGATAATTTGATCATGGAACTCGTTTGCCAACATTGCCTCCAAGCCGTACGAGAGTGGGTCGATCCAATAGATCCAAACAAACCATGGATGCATCTCTGGCTTGGCGAGTTGGTATCCAGCGTAGACAATCAAAGCCGTGACTGCAAATCCGGAGACTTTTGAGGCAGCGTCAAAGTTCTTGAAAGCTGCACCTATCATACGGAAGAATGCCGTCATGACAAAGGTTGTCAGGTAGACCAAGAACCAACAAGTGAAGAATGCTGAGGCTGTGGCTTTCAGAGCTGTCATCCAATACAGGACGACAACAAAAGTGGTGACTTGAATGAAGATGATTGGAACATCTGCAGTTACTTGTGCGATGCAGAAAGCAGCCGGGTTGAAAAAGGCGAAGTTCTTTTGTTTTGCCAGAATGGGACGACCAGCATAACTGTCGGTAACCTCCGACATGGCCATGAGAGCGTTGAAGAGAAGGGCCAGAAACAAGGATCCACCTTTAATAAATAGTCCGGAAGAATTGTCAGGTGCGTTGTAGAACAGTGATCCAGCAATTAAAGCCTGGATGAAAGAACTACCCTGTTTAATAAACAAGGTAGCCTTGTCACTCCAAATGATCTGGTATTGACGAGCGATGCATGCTCTCACCTGCTCTTGGAATGAAACTGTAAACGGCGATGACTTTAGTAGTGATTTGGACTTGTCAAGTGTAATGGCTTCTCGGAATGCTTGCGTGTTTGATTTGGCCTCCTCGGTAGTAGGGTAATTAAGTTCTTGGTCCATAGCTGCTTTGATTGGCGATTGGCGGTAGACTTGCTCCAACTCCAAGTTGTTGCGGGGAAAGCGACTCTCAAATTCTGGGCGGATTTGCCTTTCACTGGGAACAGTGACACCAGTGAGGAAGTCGGCAATATTGGCGCCTTCACCGCAAATGAACCCCTGCTCCTCCATGAATGGGCGAGCTTGCTCGCGTGTACCGTAGAAGACTTGTTTGCCTTCGTCAAGCACAAGCACCTTGTCGAACATATCGTAGATGGCGTTTCCTGCTTGATAAAGCGTGACAATAGTTGCAAGGCCCATTGCGTCTGTCAGACATCGCAATGCACGGGTATACTCGAGTGCTGTGCTTGCATCCAGGCCTCGTGTACTATTGTCCCAGCAAAAGACGCTACCTCGTGTAGCAAGGGTCTCAATAATGGACACTCGTTTCCTCTCTCCGCCAGAGACGCCGCGGACGAAAGCGTCACCCACTTGTGTTTCCTCGGTATGGCTGATGCCCATGGATTCGAGGAGGAATTCTTTGAACTGCACGCGGTACTCCTCGCGGCTCTTGGCATCTTTTGGTAGTGTGTCGGGGACATTGAGTCGGGTGGCAAAATCCATAGTCTTTCCTACAGTCATGGTCGGGTAGAACAACTCTTCCTCCGTGTTGATTACTATGCTGCCACGGTAAGGCTCGGCTTCTTTAGCAGTTAACGAGCCGAAATGAACGTCTCCCTCGATTTCCGCATATCTGCTGTCATCAACGTCTATACTATAAGATTCTCTGGGAACGTCAGACATACCCTTTGCGCTTGTTTGCGAGCAACTTGAGCAATGTGGTGCATCCGGAGCCGGGTCTGTAGGAGAGGCAGATAGTTAGCGGAGGTATGTCGAGATTGTCCACGTCGAGGCCATCTTACCTGCCCAGTACCAGTAACATCTCACCAGGCTTTACACATCCTGAACTTGAATCCAAGATCTTCCGCAGGCCTGATTTTTGACGACTCTCCTTGATTTGTTGAAAGATGTTGAATTGACTGATGAAGTTCTCCTGGATATGAGCCTCTGCAGGTACTACCTTGACAGTCAAATTATTCCACGTCACACCTAACTTGCGACTGTCGGCTGGATCATTATTTTGGAATTCCTTGACATGGTGTGCAAGCCTCCAGATATCAACCTTGGTCTTGGTTGAATCGGCGTCTGTACTATTGTCTTCGTCCAGTCGTTCCATTTCTTCGTCGTGTCGTGACTTGCCAGAAAAGGTTCTGGAAAGGGTTCGAAGCACCTCCTCGCCTGTGGCGGAGGGTATACCAGCACTCCATCCAGAGGAGTTCACGATGCGCTCCACCATCGCTGTGGTGCCTATGTGTCGTGAAAATGGGAAATGGGGAGACAAAAGACTCGTTATAGAGAAAAGGCTCGATGCAGGACGATTAGGATGAGAACAAGACTCGCTATGAAGGGGAAGCTGCAACACGACCAAGGCGATGAGAAAAGGGTTTGATTGATAATGCACTACTATGTGTCGTGGGCCATCCTGAGCCTTATATTGGCACAAGGGCTGCCGGGTAAGTGGAGCCTCCTGTGCACGAAAAGCTCGCCCATGGCGCAAAGTCGCAAAATCCAGACTCGCTGACGTATCATCCATCTCCAATGCGCTACATGCCGATTGACTGATTAATGTTGAAGATACTGAATGAAGCCCGCGGGCGCCGACAGTGAGACCGCAATACCAAGGCCTAGGCGTTAATAAAAGATCCGGCCAAGCTGATTGGTGGTCACATTGGTCCGCTTTCCCAAGACGTCGGCGTGTCGGAAGGACGCGACTGTACGGGAAACCGTAGTAGACAGGACACATGCTACATCTAGCCCGCGCATAACAAACATTATCCATCAATTCGCCCTCAAAACTCACTCTACATAGCTACCAGCTTATGGGATATGGAACATGATGGCCGTGTTGATTGATCATTCGGCCGAGTTGGCTGGCTAGATACACACACACGCACGAAGACGAACACAAACACTGTGGCATCTATGTTAGTATGACAGCATGATAGTAGGCCACTACCGTACACACAGAGAGAGAGACACACACACACACATGGACAGTGTTTAGGAGGTGCCGGTACACCGTAAGTTACCTTCCAAACGCAAAAAGTACTACATATTTCCGATAGGTCGTGCTCGGACATGGGGAGATGAGGCTGTGCAGCCGAGTTAGAAGCGCTCTGTAATACGGTAGGATACGATAATCAACATGCAGATCTTCACTAATTTGTACAGCAAAATGCCTTGGTCTACTAATCACAGGCAGGCATCCGTCCTAATATCTAATCTTGACACTCCTTACCAGGCTGTAACGTATGTGTTGAATACAGTCCCATTCTAACATACCATTAGTTCAGTTTGCCACTTAGGCGGCGAGTAGCCTAGGTGCTAGGAGTACTATGCTTCGTATATTCGATGGCATAACGCAACGACCAAGTTCCGTGATGATGGACGCTCGACACGGTATGAAATGGAAAACACAACCTGGCATTCCAGAATCAGCCTCTACGTGACACTGTGCATCTGCCCACTCGAGCACGTTGCTGTGCTTCCGACTGTCTTTGCGAGACGTTGCTGTGACTTCAAGGGTTTTGCGCCTGGAGGGTTGAGCACTCAGCAAGCCATGCTTGCTCCTTACGTATGAAACCACGACATGAGTACCGGGATGCCGAATTCGGATCCGAAACTCGCCCATGCACCGATCTTCCTAATCGGTGGTCACAACGTTTGCCGTGACAGGTGTGTTCGCTGTTTGCAGTTACAGTACCTACACTAACGGACCAAAAAGTCACGGGCTTAGCAAGCCTTACCTGATAGTAGGGCCGAATCTGATCAGGTATCAGTCAGCGAGTGACCGAGATACCGTTCATTTTTTTGGACCATGTCGGTCAACTGTGCAAACCGACGACCGAGTATATATATCAGCACAAAATTGCGCATCCCAGATATGATCTTGTTGACAAAAATCTCTTAAGCCAGAGGTGGCTTTGCCGTGATGGAAGCAAATTTCGACACGGGAGGTGGCAACTGAGGACACGATCGCAGGCACGTAGGCATACCTAGTCGAGATAAGCCAGTTGAGATGTAGAGTACGTGGCCATGGTTCTACGACCAACTGAGATATATTTGATGTTGGTGGTGGCTAGTGAGCTCATGATGCGCATTACCGTATCGTGAACTGCTCGATGTGTCCAAGTCCGACACGCTAGGTAGGCGCCTGTGCAGGATTGACAGGGAGCGTTTAGCAAACAGCAAGGTGGAATAGCATCTCGGTTCGTCTTATATGCTGCAAGAACTTACCGCTTGTTGTGTCCCAGCCGACGAATTCCGCTTGTATGGACCTTACATACAGAAGTTGGAAAGCTTCCTTCTCTCACTAGCGTCCTCCACGTCGACACGAGCGATTGTCTCTACCTACTTGCATTGCCGCCTCTCGGATTAGACTCCTAGAAACGTATATTCCTTAGCCATCATGCCTGTAATAGTATACAACAGGAGAACCTAGCAAGGGCATTAAAGCCTCACTTGAAATATGATTCCTTTTCAAGTTACTCTTCCAAGTGAAGAGCGCACGCTAATACAAATAGCTAGGAGGCGAATAATATGCCTTGCCTCTGGGAATAAAGAAAAGTCGGACCACATCATCGCGGGGTATCATCAACAAGGCCTTGGAAACCCCCCTGGCAGATCAAACTCTGTTTGCCATTGCGGTGCTATGGCTGCCGGCATTCATCACCGATGGTAGTAGTAGTGTCGACAAGTCCTGTCATCGGACGACAATGGCACTTCCAATTGTACTCTGGACACGTTGAATGATGCAAGGATTTCTGATATTTGCTCTTGACGCGACATCATTCCTAAATCTGGATGGTCTTTGCGGCTGTGATATGGGTAGGAATACTGCAAGCGGTGCATTAGGCCATGGACGCACTCGCCGAGTGGCCGCCCTTCCTATGGTAGACATATTGTAGTAGTATGAACATCAACGTGTACTTTAATGTGTGATTAATCTCACACGTTCGCGTTCGCAAAGCAACGACGCCCATTAACCAAGGAATAATTCTAAACAAATTCTCCTATTTGGGGTAGTTGGACGAATGTCAGACGATGGCTGTAGCAGTGTCTGCAAGTGTGCTTGCTTGCCTGACAGGCTGTCTTGGAAGTAGTGTACCTATGGACTGGGCAAACATTTTTAGTATGTATATCAGTGTCGTTGCGCCAGTATCCATCTTGATAATATGCACATTTCCATGCAAGCAAGCAATCAGTAGTTTCGATTTCCCATCGCCGAGGAAGTGTAACACGCAGGTTCGAGGTGGATGTTCTGAATTGCTGACCCACAAAATGAGATGGACAGAACCATGTGGATTCAGATGTACAAGAAGACCGGCGAACCCCATAGACACTTTGCTGAGTCGGCATATTCCCGTATTGCCTTTTCTCTCCATGGACATGCATTCAATGATACAAACTTGATCTTACAATGTTGCCATTTTCGCCAAAGCACATCATCCCCGCTGACACCGCTCTATTGCATCCTGTAGATAGCCAAAAACCTCATTGTTCCGAGATTTTCCTGACTCCGTTGTCGACCTAGGCAAAGCTTTCATGCCTTCGTCTATAAGTTGCTCAAGCCTTGTTTCGAAGGCCTTGGCTTCATCGGCCATGGGCATGTCGGTACCAAGCACAGTTTGTGATGTTCTCAGGGCATTCCAAACAATGATTAGCTGTAACAAGATTCGGGAGTTGAGAAAAAATTCCTCTACTCGGTTTGGGTAGGCGGTCCCGCTAGAGGACGGACCGAGGCGTTTGGCTATGCTGTTCAATTGGGTCTACACAAGGCGGTTAGATGAGGACATGCGGCCACGGTGGTGAGTGAAATGGCTTACCGCGTAATCGCTTTGCTTCAGCGCGGTCACAAGCCGATTGGCGAGCTTCTTCACTTGATCTACGTCGCCTCCATGCCGTTGGGCAAGTACAGCAGCCAACTCGGTGGGTAGGGCAATGAGGATAGGATCACGCCTGTGGTCCATGTTGGAGAAAGTAGCTTCCCTAGTGCGCCCGCCGTGATGCTCCTCGTCCTCCATAAGCTCCGTGACCTGTCTGGCCATGCGCAGCGCTTTGGTCGTCTCTTCTTGTTGCCAATCAGCCAGGGCAGCCTTGTCGTGGAGACCTCGAAGCACTTGCATGAGGAGACCGTGGTCGCTCAGGCGCAAGCCAGTAGCCTTGACGCGTTGGAGGGCCTTGAAGACCAGATGCTGCATGCCGGCGAGATTGAGGCGCCTGACAACCATTTCATGCCAGTGGGGCTTCATGTGAAGACCCGCATTCTCGGCGCCTTCGAGCAGTTTGACCACGTTCTCCCAGTCCTCGCGTGTCTCACTCAGCCGCAGTATGTTGCGGATAGACTGGAAGCGGTCGGGAAGACGGTTGCGGTCAATGTGTTCTAGGGGCAGAGTGACGTCGCCCAGGGTGATTTCAATGGGATCTGCGTCGAGTTTTGCCCTGTTCGCCTTGGCATAGACAAGCTTTTGCTGCTCTTTGGTGAGATGCAGCGGGAGCAGCACTTTGGAGTTGAAGGTGGCGAGCAGAGTGGAGAGGGCGGGCGTCGAGGGCTCAACGAAGACGGGGAGGGCGCCTACAGTTGGTCAGCATGGCGCTGCAGCGCACCGAGAAGGGTTAAGGGTAGATGAAGAAGAGAACGGAGCAAGGAAGAAAGTAAGAGGGGAAGAAGGGAAGAAGGGAGGGCAGACCTCGGGAGCATGCGGTTGTGCGGGAAAAGGCACGATACTGCAAAAGGTGGTGGCCATGGGCAGATGGTGTACGAGTACAAGTTTGCGCCGCCAACTGGCAGCTCCTTTGTATTGAATGCATCTTGGCTGGTGGTTGCTGTTGATCTTGTTGTTGTGATTCTTGCTGTTGTGTGAGGCCTTTGCACGCCTTTCTTTCTTTTACATTGACGTCAATCGCCAATCGTCAATCGCCAATCGTCAATCGCCAATCGTCAATCGCCAATCATCCCATGCGCATTGTGTGTACTTGGTTTATTGCACAAGCATGTATCTACAGCGGAGATTCTCCAAGTGACTTCGGGACACGGGCACGCGCTCACAAGAAAAAACTTGGGCCAAACGCGTCAAACGCGCCAAGCGACAGACGCCACCCCCTCTCCCCGCCCCCCACCTCTTCACCAGCCACACGGGCAGCCCCCTCAACACAGCCACATCTATCCATCACCCGGGGCCGCCACCTCTTTTTCTGTTGTACAGTTCTCGTACTCTCCTTCTTCTACTCTGGGTCTGGGTACCGATGTTTAGGTACCTCCTCATCATTCCTTGGCCGACTCACAACGTCTACCTTAGCATGGCCCACAGCCTGCCGCAATGAACACTGAAAAGTCTGCCCATTGGCTGTCGCAATTCATTGGCAAGAACCTGCGCATTCATGCCTCTGATGGTCGAGTCTTTGCAGGCCAGATGAAGTGTACTGACAAGGTAGGCCCACCAGTACCTACCTATTCTTCTCATCTAGCCAGCGTGTTTTTGGCCTCTCCCTCTCTTTACCCATCTCGTCTGCACAGGGTTAGTAGAAACCTCTTAACGACTTGGTAGGACCGCAACATCATACTGGCCCTGGCACACGAGTATCGCGCGCCATCGGCCGACGTCATCCGCAAGACGGTGGAAGAGTCGGGCGAATCTGCTGCCCAGGTTCCTTGGAACCCTCGCTATGTTGGCCTCATCGTCGTGCCCGGTCACCACATCACCAAAATCGAGTTTGAAGAGAGCACCCTCCCAGGACAGAAGAGCGCTGTGACGCTATGATCTTGCGCCCTTCAAGAGATATTCTGCAGTGTTATGCATCGCCAAAAATGACGTGGACGGCGTGTAATTACGTTAGATTCGTGTACAGGAAAGCCTGATCTGTTCGTGCCTTGTGTGTACTCAAGGTACTACTGTTATGCAAGTATTAGGGTGCAAGTATAGGGACCACTACACCACCCTGTGTCTACCCTACTATCCTGTGGCAATCATAGCTTCTTCTCCCACTTCTGATGCGGCACAAAGTCTTGCTTCACTTCTTCCCCAGCTACATGCTATGCAGCAACGACCCTCGACCTCTCCCAAGCTGTCCCCTCGTCCATCTCAATAGCTATCCCGCCACTCCCTATACCGCTTTGCCCTAGCTTGTCACTCAGGACGCCGTCCTCCTCCGGTAACGGACTACGCACCTCTTTCTCGCGTCCCGTGCCCTGTGCACCCAAGGGCCCATCGCCCCAAACGAGGTACTGGACGGCAAGGCCCAAATCACAGCAGGCCTGGAAGATGCCGCATATCTTGAATACCCAAGGTACCTCGCCGTTACTGCTGGCAAAGAAGAACCACATTTTGAACGTGTCGCCAATGACCCAGTTGACAATGACGCTGGGACGGAATCCCAGGCAGCCTCTACGCTGCCAGTTTGCGAGCAGTTGGGGAATCGGGAGGGTGGCTTCGATAGTAAGAGCAATCATGCCTAGGAGATTGGTGTAGGAAGTGAACATGGCTGTCGACGACATCAACAGATGCAACACCAGCAATACTCCACTAAAGTAGGTGATGAAGGTCCAATATGGCCTCGGTGCCCTCCACTGCCAAAACTCGTACGGCCGGTTCGAGACGGGATTATGCTGGAAGGGGAGGTGCGAGGGCGCGGGGCGGTTGGTGAGGGCGACGTGGAGAAGCAGCAGGTGGACGAGGATCATGAGGAGGGCTTGGACGAGCAGCGAAGTGCTGAAATGCGCGCCGAACCAATAGAACACTTTGAGGATGCTGGCGACGAGCATGATGAGCGGGATGTCGAGGGAGAAGCCGGCCGAGCTGCGCGTGCGGTGCATCGAGTAGATCTGGTCGCCATAGCTGGTGATGGGGCTCGTTGCGATGCTGTGGGGTCGGCGTCAGCAGCTGTCGTTTGGCAGGCCGTCTTGTTAACAGCGTGACGGTAGAGACTGTGCACGCAAGCACGGGCGAGGCGTACAAGATAGGTGCAATGTTCTTGACAAGCGCGCTGATGAGGTTGCCCATCTCGTGTTGTGTGGGCCGGTATGGCGCGGAAGCCACCCGGTGAGCGATCCTTTGGGCAGGGCTTGGTGCCGTATGTATATGTACAATGTAGTATACTGTGCAGGTCTTGTAGGTAGGTACAATTGGCCAAGGGGGTGGGAGGAGGGGGGAAGAAGGGGTGGTTTTGTTTTGTTTTTGTTTTTGTTTTTTTGGCTCTGCTGTGAAGACTGGCTGCAACTGAATGCTCGGTACCGGTACCCTTCGTTCTAGTACTCGTACCGGTTTCCTTACCTACTGTCTGTCCCGGTGGGCGAAAAGAGCCGAAAGCCGGGCTCGTGTGGTGCTGTGTACCTTACACCTAGGCGACCGGACAGTGAAAGTCGGGCACCCTTGGGCCTGGGCAGCCAGCACTCCTCATCCCAACCACAACAACAACCGGATCTGAGGCGGAAATGAAGGAAAAAGCCGTCGCCATGGAGTGCTGACATCAGTAGCGCCTACGGGTAACGTTACCGCATTCCGCTAAAGCTTGCATCGGCTCCCGCCGCACTTCCAGAGTAGAGTCCGTTACTTGAGGCTGAAGCACTGTGCTACCGTAGGTACGACGGCTGACCGGCCAAAGAGACTTCTTGTCCGTTTGAACTTTGCGCTCCTCTCTCGTCCTGTAGCAAGTAGGCTTCCTACCCATCTGTACGGTCATTGTACACTTTTCTTCCCCACCGCAGCCATACATCGCGCCACTCTCCCCACCGCAATGTCCCACACGGCCTTCTTCTATGGCACCCTCATGGCTCCGCCTGTCCTGCACCGCGTCATCTGGGGGTCCTGCACCCCTCCAACACCCGCACACGCCTCCTTGCTGAAATTCCGCCCTGCCATTCTGCATGCCCACCGTCGGCACAAGGTGAGACAGGCCGATTACCCTGCCGTCCTGCCCACAGAACAGGACGAGCATTCTTCGGTGCGCGGCACGCTTGTGGACGGCCTAACAGACGGGGATATCTGGCGTTTGGACATCTTCGAGGGCTCAGAGTATCAGCGGAGAAAGGTAATGGTGGAGGTGTTGGCGCTGCCTCACAGGGCGGAGCGGGCGAGCACAGCGATCGAGTTGGCTCCTCTGACTGAGAAAGCGGAAGAGAGGGCAAGAGGACAAGGCGAACAAGTAGAAGCTGAGACCTACATTTGGATTGCTGGTGTCCATCGACTCGAGTCGGAGGAATGGGACTTTGACGAGTTCGTCCGGGATAAGATGCAGCGCTGGGTTGGGCGCGAAGCAACGAGGACGGACGAAGGCTTTCAGGGTAGGCTGCTTCTCTATGATTCCATGATACAAGCATACATGATTGCTATCACCGCCAAGGACACTCCCCGGCTAACGCCATCTAGATGTCGACGATGCAGTGGCTGCCCAGGAAGATCCTACGGGCGGGAGAGGTGCTCTTGGCCATATATCACGGCAATTGCAAGACAACGATCATATTCCCACATCGGCTTGGAACAGCGCAGTGTAATGGATTCCACTGCGCAAGAAAAATCTAAGAATAAATGCTTGCATCCAGATGCTCATCGACCTCGTCAAGTGATCAAATCCATCGGATAGGCTATCCACCAATCGCCATCGCCATCACCATCGCCATGCCGACACTGCCACATGAACATGAAAACACACACACACACCAAGGCACAAAGCACACCAGAATCCTCGGCCCCGGACAATGCACACGTCCTGCATGCCTACATCAATAGCGGAGTTGGCTCCCTATCAGTACTTGAGCGCTGGTCAACCTCTGGCTCCGGCGTCTTTTCGACCTCACTTCTTCGCGATAGAGTATCGATATCCATGGTATCCGCAGTTGGCGAATCAATTTCCATCCTATCAAGCAACCTTTCTTCTGTCCTTTGTAGCGAAGGATCCATCAACATTGGGCTTTGAGCACGACGAAGCTCTATCTCACCTCTCGTTTCGAGGTCACTTTTCGCGGAGACATTCTTGTCGTGTCGCAGTCTTCTCCCATTACTAGCATGGAAAGAGGAAGGATCAATCTCTTCTAGCGATGGCACTGCTCTCAGAAAGTGGCTGCTCGGAGGACATTCTCCTACCAGCTGTTTCTTGTCGACAAAGGTCTTTGGCATCCATTCGGGCGATGCAATCGGCTCAGGCGCCGGATCTTGTGATTCAGCTATCTCAATGAGTGTATTCGGTGTACTACCTTCCCGGTTGCTTCTGGTCGACGGGCTTAACTGCGCTGACCGACCTGTACTCTGAGCTTGCGGTGATGTGCCCCGTCTTTGCACTGATTCGAATCTCGTACTCTCAGATTTGCTGTCGTTTGGCCGGCGTCTAGGCGCAGATACGTCTAGATCAAGCTGTTGGTGTGATTGTTGGCTCTCATCAGCCGATGGTTGGGCTGGTGCCAGTCCCTTTGTTTGGGCCGCCTGCGGCTTCCCGGGTGATTTGCTGGAGATGCGAACCTCGGGACTTCTGTGCCTATATCTCTCTTTCGTGTACAAAGTAGAAGCAGCAGACTTTGCAGGCGAAACTAGAGCCAGTGGAATGTGAGATCTATTGCTTGGTGGCTTTTCAGGTAGTATCTCATCGCTCTTTTCCGCGGAGGTCGGCTTGGCCTTGCAAGGTGACTCCAACATTTTGACGGGCGTTTTGAGCGTGGCCGGTTCCGAGGCTCGTGTTTGTACTTCCCCTACAGCAACTATCCTTTGGGACCCGTCGTCCGCTGTCAATGGTGGTGGTTGCTTCGGCTCCCGATGCTGCAAATCCTGCTTGTTTGTAGATGCAGGTAATGTGTCCATATCCGCAGTCGCTAGTTTCGCCCTTTTCTCTCGGCCTCTTGCCGCCTCTTGATCCTTCATGCAAGCGAATATGACTTCGCGCATGTGATTCCTCATTTGCTTAGGGTGGAATTCGGGCCAGTCTTTTTCAGCAAACATTCCGCCAGTGAGTAACTTGATTTTGAAGTCATCTGGGTCTTGAAAGAACTTGTCCACGTAGCCCAGCAGGTAGACCCCGCAATCAGACCAATTGCTCTGTGTCGGAATCTGAGTGGCCTTTGCATAGTAGCCGTTTTCTTTGATGATGGCTTGCATGCCTCTTCTTGCTTGACCTTCGGCCAGTATCCAGTCCTTTAGTGCTCGGACTGCACTACTGCGAGTCTCACGTAATGAATCCAGGATGATGATAATGGGCTGTTCTGGGTCTTTCTTTGGTAGCACATATTGTCGCTTTTTTGGTTTCTTCGATTTCTGCGAACCCGAAATTTTCTCCAAGTCGGCTTTGGTCTCCATGCTCGGAATGAAGCCATCGAAGTTCGCAGCCTCCTCTCCTACTGCCTCATGCCTGGACCTAATAGTACTGCCGCGATTTTCTGTCGGATTTCCAGTTCCTGGTCCTAAATCATGGGGATCGACAAGGTTTAGTTGCGAATTTTCTTCGAAAAGATTGACATCCCCCTCTTTCCGGCTGACAGGCCCAGTTGTAGCTGCCTCAGTCGAGAGGGCAAAACTATCAAATGACTTGGAAGACGCATCCTCTGCAATGTGCACATCTTGAAGAGACACGTCTCGAGAATCACTGTTTTGCATCGTACCAACAGTCGTCTGGGGATTGTCGTCGAAATCTTCAATGACTGGGCTTCGATCGATACTCGAGACATTGCATATAATGGCAAGATACCAATGCGTTCTAACATACATCTTAGGGACATCCCGCAGTAAATATAGCGTGCAACTCACAGTTCATTTATAGGAACGACGATGTAGTCGTACCCAAAAATATCAATTTTTTGAGTCCAACGTGCCACCTTTGCATAATTCATGGACTTGCGCCCCGTGTCCGTAGTGAGGGCAGTGTAGAAGTACGTGTTGAAGAAGTACACCTTCTCGGATGGCACTTTGTGTTGCTTAAAGAGATATCTAGTTCATGTCAGGACAATGATTAAGTTTACAGCAGAATTTGACTCACATCATGTAAAAGTCGATGAGGCTATCGTTCAGGAACTCTTCCTCGTCAAGACGGGGCAGATCCTCAAAGTGAACAGTGGCGCGCTGTTTGCCCTGACCGTACATGAGAGGCCTACCGAATGTGAACAAAACAGCCGTGTAATCACTAGAGTCTACATACCTCTTCCACGCGGGGCCTAGTCCGTGTCTCTGTGAGTATTTTTCCACTTCCTCATGGTCAATTGGCACATCAAATAGAACCGAAGAGGCTGTAGTAGACTGTTTAGCTCTCACAGACGTGCGCGTCGACCGTGAAAGAGTCTTGTCGGCCCCAAGACTGGCTGCAGGTCTTCGTATTGGAGCATCAGTGTCCCCAAAAGCTTGTGCTTGCAAGTGATGATTATACATAGTATTTTTCTCAGAAGGAAGTGAATGTCGTTTTACTGGAAGCGATGTTCCTCCATGTTGCACTGTGCTGATATTGGATTTTTGGCCGACTGTGATATTCTGTGGCAAGATTTTCTGCAACAGGCTCTGCATATGTGTCCTAGTACTTTATTAGTACGTTTTCCGATCACACTATAGACAGACCTACTTGTCATGTACGTAGGCCTTTGTCAGCCCGGAGTGAGGGACCGCGTAGCGGTCTCGAAAATGTACAAACTCTTCTGTTTCGGCAAACTCCAAATCCACTGTGTAGATGGTTCCATCCGAATGGCGACTACCGGTTAAACGAATACGAGAGACATCATCTACATCGATTTTCGAGACGCGTTGAAGGTCAAGACTGCCAACGCGCTGATAAGTGTGGTCCGCATCTACATGTTGAATGCCATAGTTTACATCCGTCTCTTGATTCAGTCGCAAACCGGGACCATGACATGCAAAATCGTGTGACCTAGCGTAGTTTAAATGCCAACTTAATTCTGAATTGGCATTGACAGGTTTCTTGCGTTGGAAGCCAGTGTGGGCTGCCTGCACTGCTTTCGAGGGCACAGCTTTCGACTTCGCGTTGCGCATCTGCACGGGCGACATTGCTAGCTCATCTGGGCTGTCGTCAATATCTTCTGTCGTGCGGGGTGGGGGTCGATATTTATCGCGCAAATAAGTGCTTTCAAGGCGCCCTGATCGAGTACCAGTCGACGCTTCCTCTAACTCCACAGTCGACTCGTTAATCTGCGCGTTTGGAAAGTATTTCGAGGTTACCACCGCCTGTTCTTGAGATGGCCCTTCGATACCTTGCTTCCATTCATCCAGCGAGGCTCGCGTCATTGGCATTTGCTCAACATCGGAGACCACGTGAGCAGGTTGTGGAGCGTCTCTGCTTAGGCTGGACACGCCGCCGTCCTCAACAGACATGGCGCGGTGCGAACTATGTCTTTTTGCACGAGTGGGACGTAGCGACTTTCTGTGTTGTGTAAGTCGGCGGTCAATTGCACGAAACTCGCTTTCTGTTTGCGACGGTGGCCTAAAGGTTGTGAACCCTGTTCCGTTGCCTACGCTGACTTGCGATTGCGAACGAGAGCCTGCTGTTCGCATGCCGTGAGACGCAGTGGCTGGTGTCAAGGGGGTTTGGCACCGAGGCACGTGCTGTGGCTCATCGTCGCCATCGATCTCTATGACATGTTGCGTCCTGCGACGCTTTGCTGGCGAAGGACCTCTTGCACCCTCGGTGTATTGTGCTTGTGGGCCGTGGGCTCGAGCGGAAGTGATACCATTTCTGCTTGCTTCAGATTCCAGATAGGCTCTCTGGCCAGCATATTGGACTTTCCCTATTGTCTGTGGCGACGGACGATTCTGCCTACTGTACGTGATGACTCGGTGCTTTCTGGCGTCCGTTCTTCCCTCCGTCAAAGTGTCTACAGGCTTAAAGGCATCTCGTGCCCCCGGCTGTATCCAGTCAGTAGATGGTCCCGGTACATCATCAGCCGCCCGGCCACATGCCTTGTTCTTTTTCTTCACGACTGCTGTATGTGCCATGTGGGAATTTAGGTTCCAGCTCTGCGGGTCAGGGCAGGCGACTGCATCTGCGGGTGTACTGAAGTCGCCGATGAGCCGCAGTTCGTCCTTGGATCTGCGAGCAGGCGTAGGCCGCGGGCGACTGCGGACCGCCTCTTGCTGTCTTTTGGATGGGCTGGCGGTCTTTATCGGCGACGAGAGGTCTACGAAGGTCCGGGAGGGGGGCGACGGGGGCGTCGTGTCGCGTGCATACGAGTGCGAGAGTGAGTGAGGGTTGGAGGGTTGCACAGTGGCATCGTGATTCTGGTGGGACATGGCGTTAGCAGGCCGTAGTGAGAGGAGATACAGTGCCCACAGGCAAGTGAGTCTGAACAATCAGCGTCTGCAAAGGGTTTTGAGGCGGATGAGGGAAGGGCGGTCGAATCACTCCAAGCACTTGGGGCAAAAGTCTAATGAGCAGTAAAAAGAAACCCTCCTCAATAGGTAAGGCAGACAAGTGGTAGGTGGGCAGGCATACGTTTATGTGAGTGAGTCCCAGCGCTTTGCCCACGGCAGCGCCCAAGTCGTCTATAAAGTGGGATAGCATCCGTGTGGCATCGCGTTTGCGCGCGGGACAAAGGCTCGCATAGCTTCCAGGCGTCTGAGGTCCCCAATGTTGTGTACAATGACGAGGTACGGACTGGCTGACTAAGTGACAGACCGCCAGACAGATTGACTGACTGACTGACTAGGAGTGCTGCACGTAGAAATGCTGCAATGCTTTGGGAGGAGGAAGAGGAAGAGGGTGCAGGTGCGAAGGGTGGACGGTGACCTCTCTTCCTCTCTCACTCTCACTCTCACACACTCACACTCACACACACACACAAAGACACACACCCTTGACATTCCCGCTTCCGCTGCTCTAAACCCAACGGCCCAAGCGTCCGCACCGGCACTTACCGCAGTAGGTACACATCGAAATCTAGCCCAGCTCCACCTCAAGTGCTCCGCAACAAGAAAAGCCACACAAACCCAAATCCAATGCCGAGTGGGATCATGCATCCGAACACGCTATTGACAACGCACAAGACAAACGACTGCCATTTCAATGGGGTCTAGTCCTATTTTACAACCGCAAATGCGCAATGCTGAGCGTCAAAACGTGCTCCCGACTATCCAGACGTCTTCTGCATAGCCTGGTTGTACTGTACATACAGCATGCAATGTTGCTATACCCTGTCTCCTTCTCAACCAGCGTTTAGTCACATGGCTACCAAGTCGCCGTCGCCGCCGTCTCGTGCGACCGCTTAGATCTGTTCTCCTTGACATGGCGAAAAGTCCAATGCGCAAAATCTTCGCCCTCACAAGCATGCGTGCATAGTGTCAGCCGTCCCCACAAGCCGCAGCCATGTGCTACTCGAAATCTCCCATGTTCCTGACTCAAGTCGTGGCTATCAACAGGGAACAGTCTAGATACGTTTGCCCAAGGGAACCGTCACTGCGGCTAGCTGCAAGCCACATGTGTGAATCAGCCGTATGCGAGACCAAGGACAGGTTGAGTCATTCTGTCTAGGGCGTGTGGTCCTCGAGTGAACGATGCAGACATTAGATGTCGGAGATCGCACTAGTCAACCAAAATTCATCGGGGTGTCCGTCCCAGCGTCATCCTTGGTCGTCCCCTAGGTAGCAAAGCATGCAGGCATCGGACAAGCAACAGGAGGCGAAAGAAAATCCTACGCGGCAGTCGTACTTTTATCTCGCTGCGACTCATCGGTCGACGTCACTCTTCGCTTCTCGTGGCCCTGGAGGTTTTTTTCGTAGCGAGCCTGGTCTATGGCCGATCTCTGTGCAATACTATCATCGTGGCTTCGCCATATGATATTGGTGCCCTCTGGGAGTTCGAGCACGCGCTTCACTGTTTCTCTGAAGATAGATTAGCTCAACGCATGCCAAGGGCCGCCGGCCCAGGAGAACAAGTGGTCATACCGGATCTTGATATTGCGACCGCCGTCGTTCTTGGTCCAGATGCTGAAGACGAATTGTCTCTGGCTGTAGGACAAAGTGGGCGCCTCTCCATGTTTA